GTAGCTGCGTGGCCAGTCCTTGGTTTTCAGCATCTTTGCAAGCCCTTGGTAAAAGTCTTCGTCCTCATAGTGGCGCGACATGACGTGGCAGAAGCTCTTCAGTTCCAGCTCGGCCGCACGGTGGTTGAACCCTGCCACATGTACATGACATAGTACAACGGAAGTTATCAGTCAACAGGTTTCTGGGATCCATCTTGGCACCACGAACACTGGGTGAACAGTAAAATTGACTGCGCTGTCCACGTGATCAACAACACATCTGGCAGCCTGTTCTTGAAGACACGCGCGTTGGCGTCCAACCACTGCACCACTCGTCGCTCCTGTTTGTCTTTCGCATCTCGCCACGACTCCACCTTGTACAGTTTGCTGCCCTCCATCTCCTTCAGGCTGTACATGCGTGTGTGCATATTTGTCGCCACCTCCAGAGCAAACGCCCTGCACAGCTTGATGCAGTCGGCCATCGATCCGCCGTACTTGTGTCCTTTTATCGGCGTCTCGGTCAGCACGATCTCATGCGATGTTGCCTCGCCCTCCGCATTCACGCCGTCCACCTTGATCGTCCTGTTCCCTTTGGCCATGCGAGCGATGAATGGTGTCAGCAGCTTGCTGAGTCCACCCCCGAACCCGCTCTCGTCGTACTCCACGTAGCGGAGCCCGATGCAGGCAATCGTGCAGTCCACCTCCTGGTGCACGAGCGTGATGTCCACCTGAAATTGTGGCGGGAACACGTTGAGTGTTAAGATCATTGTCATAATAAACAGAACGCCGACTACAGTAAACATTAAACTATGAATAGCTTACTTTCCGGTGCTGGAAGAACTTGTTGAGGGCGTTGATCTCCGCCAGGAGATCCGCCAGGAAGTAGACACAGAAATGGAACTTCACAGACTGCACCGTGGCGGCTAACTTGTGGCCGTACTCGATGAATACTACGACCGCCGCACCTAGGACCTTGCACAGCCGCTGCACAGCATCTCCCCGCGACAGCCACCTCACGTCGAAAAGGCCCTGGTGCTCAAGGTTTGTCTTGTGGATCTCTTGTTGCAGCTCCTTGAAGCGCTCGTGCCAGACGGACGAATTCGTGACGATGTCGCCGAGCCCACGGATAGCTGCGTCCACGATGTCGAGGTCTTTGTACTTCAGTGCCGACTCCTTCACTGCAAGTACTTCTCTGCACTTGGAAAAAAAAAACATTAAAACACTTGAACTTGCCGGACTAAGTGCTCGCGGGAAAACTGTGGACGTCGCATACCTGTGTGCTATGCAGTGCGTGCCGACGAGATGAGGGATTCGCTCACGGAGGCGCACCACAAGACCCCGTTCGCAGCCAACCATCACACCCGCTCCGTCGGTGCTGATGGCGATGATCCGATGCAGATCTAGGCCGACGGTCTCCAAGTGGCTCAGCAGGACGGTGAAGATACTCGCAGCATCACACTTCTGCACGGTTAGCAGGCGAAGAATTCTGTCGCCACCTGGCGATCCTTCACGAACGTCGCGAACACTACCAGATGCTTCCCGCGCGCTCTGTCTGTGCTCTCGTCACAGCTGATGCCGATCCATGGTGACGCCTGTATGTACATCAGCTGTTGCTGCTGCTGATAAGTGCACATCGCCTTCACCATCTCCTTGAACCCGTATCTGCAAGACGCGCAAACATGGGTTAGCATCCGCATGAGATGTAAACATGAACACAATACGGGAAACCATGAACAACACTCACTCAGTGATGTAAACGCCGTAGCTCTGTAGAGGAATGTCCGAAACACCCTCTCTGGCCGGAAACTCCACGAGCCGCGGGTACATTGAGATCGGTGCGTCCTCGTCGCAGACAAATTGAATGCTCCGCATGAGCCTGATGGCGTGCGCGCCCTGCGCGTCTGCTCTCTCGTAATCGTCGATTTTCTTCTGCGCCGCCAACTTGTCCAGAAGCCCTTTCTGCCGGTCGATGCACTCCTCGTGTCGAGTGCTTGCCTGGTGCGCCCGCATCGACGCTGGCTGCAAGTCGCGTCCACCACGTCCATTCCTCCCGTAACGAGCGTTGTCTGGGCCATGTTCACTGCACACACTGCAACGCAAGCAAGGCAGACCATCCTCACCCTTGTCGAGCAACAGCCAGTCAAACTGCGGGAGCCATTTCGTGACGTAGTTTCGCTGAACTTCCAGGAACTTCGCTTCCGCGCGTTCAGCTTCAGTCAGCTTGAGAGGTGACGGCGCAGGAGTGACCTTGGGAGGTGGCGGAGGTGGAGGCTTCACGAGAGGCGTGCCGGTGGCAAACCCAATGGTGGTCTGCGTGTAGCGTCGTCGTTTCAGCGCCACCGAGTTAGAAGACTCCGGTGCTTCGGTAACGACCTCCGTCGTTTCCACGGTGTCGCGTACGACGGGGTCCCCCTCAATGCGCGTGGGACGTTGCCATTCAGCGTCATCGTCCTCTACCTCCTCCTGGCGCGGTGGTGACTACCGCACTGCTGTGCGCACTGGATGATGCCACCCCTCACTGTCAACATAGGGTTCGCCCAAAGTGCTGGGTTCTGCTTCAGAAACATGGCCTCGCAAGAAATCGAGGCCTCTCCTAAGCCTGTTGCTACTGGAAGGGTCTCCATCATCAGCATCGTCAGCGTCCAGGTCTCCAGGGGCTGCCATGGCAACGAGGTAGTGAGGGTGGTTACAACAAGAGGAGGTAGAGGGTGGTGGTGGAATGACGGTGCGGGGCGAAATTGCTATCTGTGCTTGCCCTACCCACAAGGCAATGCATCCAGACCGATACACCGTTTGCGCCTCGTTCGGGGAGATGGATAACATGTGCACGCACCGAACATCTGACCGTGGTCCTAGTGAAACCACCAAATTCAGGCAGCAATACTGTAGTTGATGCCAACACAGGGTTTCGTGGCGAGCTGGCTAGGGAATTATTCCAAACGGACCAATGGGAGAGGTGACTACTGCCAACGCACATCCTGTATGAAAGGTAACCTCGGTACTTGCGTGATTGGCGGAAATCACAATCTGACAAATTCCTGGGAACAGGGGGGAACAGGGGGGGGGGGGGGGGGGGGGGGGGGGGGGGGGGGGGGGGGGGGGTTCTGTACGCCCTTCAGTGTAAACCTCGCTAACGGAAACATTACCCCAGAGCATCAGTGTGGCCTAAACCGATACACTTACAGATCAGTGTAACACTAATGCTCAAAAAAATTACCCCAGACCATCTGTCTACGTTGAAAATTTTACCCTTGTCAGCAGTATAGAAGGGTAAATTACACTGATAACCTGAGCCCTGGATGAGCCTGATTATAAGGCGTATTGACAGCAAGGCACTACCAGTACACTAGGCACAACTGCCAAACCAGGTCCAAAAACAAGGCTCTACAGAAACAAGGCACTACCTCACAGCCAGTTACCACTAAGGGTACATTCCTGTGTAGACACATGTGTCTCAATGCACATTTTCCCGAGTCGCGCCTGCAAATTTACAATTTCACGCGTCACAAACAGCTGATGTATCGCGACTCTGTGCGACAGAGATCAGGTTACAGATGGCCGAATTTGACTGGCCCACAACATATTGATACGGTTCGGATGTTTTGGACCCATGATGCCCCTAAACAAATTCCAAACAGCCAAAACACGAAGAACCTACTCGAATGCAGAACGATGCAGCACGCAGCAAGTACAAATCACTACGTAGCATCATGAGCAACATCTTCCTTCATCCCATTTCCACTGCACCCTTCTTCTCTAGCCCAAGGGTGCAACCATGGCAGAGCCTCGTGCTATGCCATTTCTCCTGCGGCTCTTGGTGGCTTGGATCACATTCTACTACTCCATCTTCATGGACGCAGTAGGTCGTGCTGTCGGCAGCATGCTTGAAAGCGAGGTCCTCGGCAGCGACGAATCAACGGCCGAGAGCTCACAGGGGTCCAACAGGACTGCCGAGCGTGCAAGGAGGGCACGCCTGCGGCGGCGGCAGCGATACAATCTGCTGGGGGAAGACCTGCAGGGGATGGGGGACAGGGAGTTCAGAGATCTGTTCAGGATCAACCGGGAGATTCTAGCATACGTCGTGGCAGGCATGGCATACTACATGGTACCATATGTTGAACGACATTTCATCACGCACGAGATTGCCAACTTGGTCGCGATCAAGTACCTGGCTAGTGGCATGGCGTACGTGGACCTCTCCCACTTCTTCGGCATAACGAAAACCCTCTGTCACGCCCTCGTCGATGTGTGGCTTATGCATTTCCCGAGCGTCTTCAAGCAGCAGTGGGTGCACTTTCCAACCGCCGACGATCTGGCAGAGATGTCCGAAGAATTCCGCGCCGTCAAGGGGGTACCTGCTGTCGTGGGGGCTATCGACGGCACGCACATCCACATGAAAGGGATGGAAGGGCATAGGCAGGAGTACTACACGAGGAAAGCGGCATACGCCGTTCAGTTGCAACTCACATGCGATGCGCGCGGGATAATCTGGGATTACCTGATTGGGTACCCGGGAAGTGCACACGATCAAAGGGTGTTCATGAATAGTGCACTACAAGAAAGGTTGCAAAACGGCGACATAGCGCCTTATCAAATCGTGGGAGACGCAGCCTACCCACTCAGAGATTTCTGCCTCACCCCCCTACATGCTCCCCGTGAGGGCCTAATGGAAGACTGGGCGCAGTGCTTCAACTACTGTCAAAGCGCTACGCGCATGGCAGTAGAGCGCTGCATCGGAGCCTTCAAGGGCAGATGGCGGCTATTCGCGGGGCGCAACGACTGCCAGCTGTGGCGCGTGCTGGCGGACGCCTCCTGCTGCGTGATCCTGCACAATATGTGTGAGACGATGGGCCGGGTGAGATGCACTAACGAAGTGTGGGCCTCACTGCTGCGGAACCGAGACCCATGGTGGACAAGGGGCGCGGCGGCGGACTTCACGTGGGAGCCCTGTGTGCCACTAAACCAGGCTACACTCAAGGATAGGCGCAAGCGGCTGGGGGAGGCACTGGAGTCGTCTTACCTTACTCGCCGTCGCCGCGAACCCACACCTCCGCGGCCTCATCAGGGTTAGCGGCCGCGTCGCCACTCTGCCCGCGACGGAACCATCCGTCGTCGCCACCATCGGTGGCGTTCGCGGCCGTCTGGGCGGGAGCGTCGGGCGGTGCGCCGTAACGGGCAGGCGGAGCAGGCGCCGTCTGCTGGAGACGTTCACGTGCTATACGCTCATCCTGCTCCATCCAGGCGCGGACAAGCCCTTCGAGCTTGCTCATAGCGTCCTGGTGGCAGTCCTTGATCGTCTCACAGACGAGCTTGGCGGCCGCCATAGTTGCCGTCTCCATCACGCGCGGGCGCTTCGACGGAGGGGTGCACTGCGGGGGTGTGGCTGAACACGCACGAATAGTACTGGGTGGGTGGTGTGCCTGCGTGTGTGCGGTGTTTGGTAACGTACGAACGATGTAATATTTCGTCCCGCACAAAGTGTACCTGGACGTCTCACACAAAACCGTAGACCCTAAAAATACATGTGCAGCCATGTGAGCCTTCAGGGAAAGGAAAGTCGAGTATACCAGTGAACGTCGGAGTAGTCGTCGTAGGCACCGATGTAGAGGGCACGTTGAAGCCACACGGCGCGTTAACGTTCGTCGCGCCTCCTGCAGCCACGGCATGCGGGTTAGCAACTGCCCGGTTGTTGAGGAACAACTCCATGTACGGGTACCACGGGGGCTTGCACACGGTCCCCTTGCCCGACGCCTTATCCGCCTTCTTCAACTGCTTGTAGAACTGCACGAGGTTGCGCCACTGTTTCTGCACGGCGTGGACGCCGCGAACCCACCCCGGGTTCTCCTTCTCGAGATGGTGCACAAGGCGCGCCCAGTACTGCGAGCCCTGCTTCCCGAGCAGGGGCTCCAGTTCGTCCTTCATGAACCATCGGGCCGCGACGAAGATCGTGTTCTCGAGCGGAGACCAAACGATGCGTTTCACAGGCACCTGAGTGCGGGTCTTTGGGCCGCGGCGTGGAGGCTCGTCGCCCTTAGACGCGGCGGTAGCAGGGGCAGCGGACTTAGCACGACTGGCACGCGTAGCGGGAGCGGAGGGGAACGTCTCCTCTGGCGCCTCAGCCTCGTCCTCGGACTCGTCCTCCGAATCGGACATACCCTTGTCCGGCTCCTCGCCTGAGTCCGCCTCGTCATCGGTGGCGACGGCGAAGTCGTGGTAGTCGCTGTCGTCATCCTCTTCATCGTCCAGCGGGGTATCGTCGACGACGCGTGAGGACGCAACCCTGTCGGCGTCACGACGGCCGCGCGTGGGGACGTCACGCGGCGCTTCGTACGAGGTGGCTCCGGGAGACGGTACACCTTCAGGCAGCGGGCCTGCAGGCTTGCGACCGGATGCAATTTGCTTGTTGATCCACGCGATGTACGGGATCTCGTTGAGATCCCGCGGGACGTCGGTTGCAGCGTCAGCTCCAGACTTGCGCTTCCTAGCCATGGCTCCCTTAGGAAGGGATAGCAGAGATACGGGAGAGAACGGAGGTGTCCAGATCTGGAGAAGGAATGTGAAGGAGGATGAGGTGGGTGAGCTCGTGGAATGGTCTAGCAGGTGGGATTTCGATTGCGGGCAGGAATAGTTTGCCTGCTGCGTAGGAAACCCTTCGATAAGATACACGGGCAGCGCGGAAGTTTTTCCCGCTCAAAACTGTCACACATTCGGGCGTCCAGGTACATGGGGCCGAGCCGTGAGATGGCTTGACATTTCGACACTCGTGCGACTGCTGAGTTGTGACGGGGCCTCGTCCAACTCGTCGGCGATTGTACCGCAATTCACGGGGCCCAATGATAAATTCAGCGGAAATCGCAACAGGGCAGTCCGCGTTTGTGACATTGTACGTTATATGTAGTTTTCGGATGTCACAATCAGTTTGAGACACATGTGTCTACACAGGAGTGTACCCTAAGCATTGCTCTCTACTGCCGTACAAGGCACTACCACCAAACTAGACACTACCGCCAGGCCAGGTCCCCCATGAACTTGAGAGCCGACACGCCACGAATCTCGAGGTCAAAGAGAGGCGATTAAATCACCAACAAATAGCTCAATGGCACACGACCACCGCCACACCATCCACTAGAGCCACATCAGGCGCTACCTCCAGACCAGGTCCCCCATGAACTTGAGAGCAGGCACGCCACGAATCTCAAGGTCAAAGAGAGGCGACTGAATCACCCTCAGGTGACTCAGCTCCTTATCTGCCTCCACAATATCCAGTGCCCTTTGCTGGTCCTGCGGTGCAGAGGTGTGAGAAGGGGTTGGGGAAGGCAAGAAGACAATAATGAGCAAGGTCAGGTGGAGGCGACTGAATGACCCTCAGGTGGCTCAGCTCCTTATCTGTCTCGACAATGTCTAATGCCCTTTGCTGGTCCTGTGGTGAGGAGGTGAGGAAGGGCGAGCGAGGCACAGGGGCAAGAGCAGGAAGGGTGCAGAAAAAAAGCGATTGAATCACTGTCAGGTGGCTCAGATTGGCTCAGATGTCTCTAGACATTGTGGAGAGACATCTGAGCCACAATGTCTCAGACACAGGCGGCTCAACTCTCTGTCTGCCTGCACAATGTGACTTTGAGTCGACTCAAAAGTCACTCTCTGTCTGCCTGCACAATGTATAATGCTCACTGCCGGTCCCGTGGTGAGGAGGCGAAAGGGTGTGCAGGAACAGTGGGGACAGATGGCAGAGAAAGGAAGAGGCAGTGGTGAGGAGGCAGAAGGAGGATGCGAACAGGGAAAAACACAGGTGACACCACGAAGATTAAGGAGGTTGGCAGAGTAAGGAAGAGGCAGAGTAAGGAAGAGGCAGAGTAAGGAAGAGGCAGAGTAAGGAAGAGGCAGAGTAAGGAAGAGGCAGAAGGGACAGCGAAACACAAAGGTGACTCCACGAAGAAGAGCACACTTAGCAAGTAAGGGAAAAACAGGAGATGAAGAACACTGTCCAACACCACATACCTTATGCTTGGTGATGACTTGAGAAGCATGTGTTATAAGACGGCAGGGAAGTTGCCCCAACAGAAAGGGCATACAGTGCATTTGATACTGCACAACGGGTGTACCTTCTGTTTGATGTTGCAGAATTTGCAGTCGGTGTTGGATTTGGGCAGGATCTGATTCACTATAAGCCGCTTCACTGGCTTCTTGTGAGTCAGGTGAAGAAATGTAAGCGTACCTTCCGTTTTATGTTGCAGAACTTGCAATCCGTGTTGGACTTGGGCAGGATCTGATTCACTATAAGCCGCTTCACTGGCACGCCCTCCACCTCCAGCGATTTCAGCAGGCGGGCGCTCTCATTTATAGCCATGATTGTGGGGATTGTGACTATAATGAACTCGGTGGCCTTCTGGTCGCGGAATATCTCCCTCACCATCACCATCCGCTCCTTCAGCTGCTCCAGCTTCTCCACCTACAGTCACATTCGAAATTGTCACGTGCAAAAACAGTCAGGTGGAGATATGGTCACAACTTGATGCAGTGATGCAGTGATTCAGTATCACAGTCAGAGGGTACACTTAAGCTGACTCATGAGTGAACTCGGCACGAAGCTCTTCCACCTCTCTCGACCTCTCCCCACCTCCTCTCACCTGTGCCCACTTTCCTTTAACCTCCTCCCACCACTCCCCAACCCTCACTCACCGCTGTGTCAGGCTTGCCGTCCTCCTGGCCAAAGAGAGACTTGACTGCTGACGTGGCAGAGCTGATCTTGTTCTTGAGCTGCGAGCAGGAAATGAGAACCATGCGGCACACAGATAGGAAGTGTGAGGAGGAAAGTCTCTTGAGACACCTCAAAAGGGGACCTGACTGCCTGCTGACGTGGCAGAGAAGATCTAGGACTTCAGCTGCGGGCACAGAGGGGGGCAATACAACACGAGGGCGATGGGAGGCCCGGAGGGTGTGGTTTGAGTCGAGTTAGCATTGAAACACGTGATATTGGAATTGAGCTGCGGGCAGGGGAGGGCAACAGCGCAACACGAGGGCAACCGGAGGGTGTGCTTTGAGTCGACTCAAAACACGACTTGACTGACTGCTGACGTGGCAGAGCTTATGTGGGACTCGAGCTGCCGATGGGACAAGGGAGCGATAGAGTCGAGGGGCATCTCGAGGGGCAGAGGATGGGGTTTTTGAGGCGCCTAAAAAATCGTCTCAAAGGATGGGGCATGGGGCAGTAGAGGGTAAGGGAAGAGGGAAGTCGGGAAACAGCAATACGAAGAGTCTGAAAGAGAAAGGGCTGCTGGCAGGGAAGAGGGCAGTTATTTTTTTGGGCAGTTGATTCTGATAGTATCAGATTGGTAGCCTTGTACCTAGAGCTTGCACTCACAGTGAGAATCTTTCCAATGGAAGCATCAAGGAAGTCGGGGAGGGAAAGGAGCCGAAGCGTGTGCCCCTGTTAGTGAGATATTGGGAGGGTGGCGGAAACACACACACACACACGAAGCGAGGAAGAAAGAAAGATGTACAAAGTATAGGCGAGGAAGAAGTACAAAGTCAAATATAAAAGAGGAAGATGACTACAGACACTTGGAACAGTGCAGTCACTCAAAGAACGAACATACATCAAGAAAAGGGCTATGCAGATACACAAACACGGAGGGGAGTGGGGATGGGGATGGGGATGGGGATGGGGATGGGGATGGGGATGGGGATGGGGATGGGGATGGGGATGGGAAAGCAAGCCATGGGGCCCACCGTGGGAGCAGTATCAAAGATAATGCGAGTGAAGTTGCTGTACTCGGGCGATTGCATGAACTGCACGACCTGGGGGAAGAACAGGAGGTTGAGAGAGGTGGAGAGGGGTGAGAGGAGGTGAGAGGAGGCACAAGGAGATGAGCAGATGATGCGAGTAAAGTTGTTGCAGTTGGGGGCTTGCACGAACTGCACTGCACAGCCACCTTCGCAGTCACCACCGCCTCGACTTCCCAGCTTCCATCCACATTCCAATCCAGCCCCCACTTCGGCCCTCCATTTACCCCATACCCCAACACCCCTCACCCGACCCCCCCCACCTATCTTGGCTATCAGAACTGCAACGTTGTGACTTTTGGGTTGACTCAGAAGTCATCTTGGCTATGACAACTGGTTTTTGGCAATCCTGAAAAAAACCAACGAGGTGATTTTGCAGTCGACTCAAATGTCATCTTGGCCATCACAACTGCCTCGTCCTCATCCTGGCACAAACATGGCGCGCCCTCCACCCCAGCTTCCCTCCAATTAATGAGTCGAGTTTAGAGTCGACTCAAAAGTCATCTTGGCCATCACAACTGCCTCGTCCTCATCCTGGCACAAACATGGCGCGCCCTCCAGCCCAGCTTCCCTCCAACCCTACCCTCCTCTAGCTCTTTCCCCTCAACACACACCACCTCTCTACCCACCTTGGCAACAGCGACAGTCTCGTCCCGGCCCAGGCGGTGGCGTGCCCAGCAGCTCTCCCAACTTCAATTCGCCCGCCCACAGCTCCCCTCTCTCTGCTTCCTACCTACCAACCCTACCGTTCACTCGCCCTCTCCCTTCACCTCGAAGCTCCCCTCAAGGCTCAACCCACCTTAGCAATAGCAACAGCCTCGTCCAGCCCAGGTGGTGGCGTGTCTAGCAGCTCGCCCAGCTGCCATCCAACACCAACCCCCTCTGTAGATTCCTCCTTGAATCCACGCCCTCTCACTCACCCACTCCCCCCACCCACCTTGGCAATAGCAACAGCCTCGTCCAGCCCAGGTGGTGGCGTGTCTAGCAGCTCGCCCAGCTGCAATCCAACACCAACCCCCTCTGTAGATTCCTCCTTGAATCCACGCCCTCTCACTCACCCACTCCCCCCACCCACCTTGGCAATAGCAACAGCCTCGTCCAGCCCAGGTGGTGGCGTGTCTAGCAGCTCGCCCAGCTGCCATCCAACACCAACCCCCTCTGTAGATTCCTCCTTGAATCCACGCCCTCTCACTCACCCACTCCCCCCACCCACCTTGGCAATAGCAACAGCCTCGTCCAGCCCAGGTGGTGGCGTGTCTAGCAGCTCGCCCAGCTGCCATCCAACACCAACCCCCTCTGTAGATTCCTCCTTGAATCCACGCCCTCTCACTCACCCACTCCCCCCACCCACCTTGGCAATAGCAACAGCCTCGTCCAGCCCAGGTGGTGGCGTGTCTAGCAGCTCGCCCAGCTTCAGCTCACTCAACTGCAGACAGCAAGATACGGGGAAAAAGTGCAAGGGAGAGAAAGGTGGAAAGGAAAAGGAGAAGGAGAGGGGGGGAAGGGATGAGATGGTTTGGCAATGAACCTGTCCAGTCAATTTCTTGTGGCGCCTCAGGAATGGGCAACGGGGGGGATGCAATGCGATGGTGGTGAGGCATTTCAATGGGGGAGGCAAAATTGTCCAGATCACGAACCTGGTCGAGCCAGCCGCCCAGCCCCATGGAGTCCATGAATTCCCAAGAAGGGTGTGAGGGAATTCCCTTGGGCCCGTTCCTTCTTAGCCATGGCACCCAACAGAATGAACAAGCTAGTTATCCTCGCTATGAGCTCCCCACTACGAACCTGGTCAATCCAGCCGCCCAGCCCCATAGAGTCCATGAAGTCCTTCACACCCTTGCCACCGTCCTCCATCCACCCACACAACCATATAAGATTATTTCACATGGTTATCCGCGTTATTAAGTGCCTTGCCTAACATTCACAACGAACCTGGTCAATCCAGCCGCCCAGGCCCATGGAGTCCATAAAGTCCTTCACGCCCTTGCCGCCGTCCTTGCCTGTTGCTGACCGGAACTCCTCGCGCGCCTGCTCTGGGTCTATCTGTTGCCACACAAAGAGGCAAGGAGTGGAGGGAGATTGGAGATTGGAGATGACGGGTGTCAGGGACAGGGAACCAGTGAATGCGTGTCTTGCACATGCTCCCTGACACACATGCTCTACAAAGCTAAGAAAAACCTCCTTCCCCAGTTACTGCGTCTCTCTCCTCCTCATCCTTCCTTGCCTGCAGAGGGCATTGCCCCCCCCCTCCCCCCTGGTATAGTCACACAGTCACACCCTCCACTATACTCACCTCCATGGCGAACAGAGGCAGGTCGGTTCCCTCCACAGCCACAGGTTTCCCTCCAGACACGTCCTGAACAAAGCATGAGGGTGGGAAGGGGAGGAGCGGAGAGGCAGGACGAGGGGGGGTAATAAGGAGAGTCAGCGAACAGAGGCACCTGAGTCCCACCTGACAGGCACCTGAGCGGCACCTGAGCCCCACCTGGGCGAAGGAGTTGCTGAGGGATTGCGGGGGGTCGGTAAAAACCACCAGCGTGCGATAGCCCTCGTTGGCAATTTTCACTGCTAGAGTCACCGACACACGCTGTTCTTGCATCCTACCTTGAAGGCACATGCAGGCCTTGCATCCTACCTTGAAGCCACATGCAGGCCTTGCATCCTACCTTGTAGCCACATGCAGGCCTTGCATCGTACCTTGAAGCCACATGCAGGCCTTGCATCCTACCTTGAAGCCACATGCAGGCCTTGCATCCTACCTTGAAGCCACATGCAGGCCTTGCATCCTACCTTGAAGCCACATGCAGGCCTTGCATCCTACCTTGAAGCCACATGCAGGCCTTGCATCCTACCTTGAAGCCACATGCAGGCCTTGCATCCTACCTTGAAGCCACATGCAGGCCTTGCATCCTACCTTGAAGCCACATGCAGGCCTTGCATCCTACCTTGAAGCCACATGCAGGCCTTGCATCCTACCTTGAAGCCACATGCAGGCCTTGCATCCTACCTTGAAGCCACATGCAGGCCTTGCATCCTACCTTGAAGCCACATGCAGGCCTTGCATCCTACCTTGAAGCCACATGCAGGCCTTGCATCCTACCTTGAAGCCACATGCAGGCCTTGCATCCTACCTTGAAGCCACATGCAGGCCTTGCATCCTACCTTGAAGCCACATGCAGGCCTTGCATCCTACCTTGAAGCCACATGCAGGCCTTGCATCCTACCTTGAAGCCACATGCAGGCCTTGCATCCTACCTTGAAGCCACATGCAGGCCTGGCATCCTACCTTGAAGCCACATGCAGGCCTTGCATCCTACCTTGAAGCCACATGCAGGCCTTGCATCCTACCTTGAAGCCACATGCAGGCCTTGCATCCTACCTTGAAGCCACATGCAGGCCTTGCATCCTACCTTGAAGCCACATGCAGGCCTTGCATCCTACCTTGAAGCCACATGCAGGCCTTGCATCCTACCTTGAAGCCACATGCAGGCCTTGCATTGCATCCAAGAGGTGAACGGCGAGCGACGGGAATCCAGCTCCACCTGGCAGACACCTGAGCCGGCCTTTAAGGCGCCTCGAAAATCGACACCTGAACCACACCTGAGCGAAGGAGTCGCTGAGGGAGTGCGCGGGGTCGGTGGAAACCACCAGAGTGCGATGGCCCTCGTTGGCGAACTTCACTGCCAGAGCCGCGGACACGCTCGTCTTCCCCACGCCGCCCTTCCCCCCCACCATGTAGTACTTGCGCGTCCTGCCCGCCACCATCTCGTCAAACCCTGACGTCGCGGATGCACGCACTGGGGGAGGCGGAAAGGGAACGGGAGTGGGGGTTGGGGAGATTGGGAGGGGAATGAGGGGAGAAAGGGACACGCTGCTCTTACCCACGCCGCCCTCCTCACCACCATGTAGTACTTGCGCTTCCTCCCCGCCACCATCTCGTCAAACCCTGACGTCGCGGATGCGCGCACTGGGGGAAGAGGGGAGGGAAAGGGGAGTGGGGGTTGCGGAGATTGGGTGGGTGGGGGGGGGAACGAGTGGGGACACGCTCGTCTTCCCCACGCCGCCGTTTCCCCCACGATGTAGTACTTGCGCGTCCTCCCCGCCACCATCTCGTCGAACCCGATGTCGCGGATGCGCGCACTGGGGGGGGGGGGGGGAGGGAAAGGGAAGTGGGGGTTGCGGAGATTCAGGGGGGACATGCGGGGGGAAAGGGGCACGCTGCTCTTCCCCACGCCGCCGTTTTCCCCCACCATGTAGTACTTGCGCGTCCTCCCCGCCACTATCTCGTCGCACCCCGATGTCGCGGATGCGCGCGATGGGGGAAAGGATAGGGGGAAACGGAGGGGGGTTTGTGAAAACGGTAAAAGGAAAATGGAGAAAAAGACACGTGCTACTTGACACGATGCGTCTACGAAACCGACAATTACCATGATCTGCCAGGAGAGAACTAGATTTAAAGATGTTCGCACCAGTCACTGAAACACGGCCTCGTCTCGACGGCTTGTCATTCCGCCGAAGGACCAGCGATTGTGTCAGTCCCTGGCCACCAATGCCCGCTTGCCACGTGGAAGCTCGCAAACAGCCCTTCTGAAGAAAATCGCCCCGCAGACGACAGCTGTCGGCAGGGTAAGCCGCTTGAGACGATTCAAACGACGAGTTCCGTTGAACTGACAGGACGCGAGGTGAAGCACGGGTTACTGACGACAGCCCGCTGCTAACATGCGACACCGCATGCAATGCAGCCATGGCTCCGTGCTCCTACACGAAAAGTCGCGTGAAAAACGTAATGGATCGTGACGAGACACGGAAATGACCAGACACGGAATCGGGACGAGTACGCGTTGTGCGAAAACCGTGCTTCTAGAAGGCGAGTTGATTCAAGGTCCAGATAGAATTTCTCAATTCTTCAGCTGGTCTGCTTTGAAATGGAATTTCAGCCCCTAGGAACAAATCCGATTTCACCCCTCACCCCTCACAGATTGCAGGGCAGGTTCCCTTAGGAACTCCGTGTAAGGCTGCCGCACCCAACCGAGCCATCTTCAATAACCAGCCTAGACCGTTACTCTAGTATCCGCCCTCAATCCGGAGCGGCCAGCTGGCCTGCCTGCGACGCACGTGGCTCTTCCTGACCGGCGCCAGCACGGATTGCGTGCTTCACAAGCACCCTGGTTCTGGAAAATGGAAACCAGAGATTTTGATTGGCGAGACTGACTCAGCTTGTAAGCTGCGCCTGTTACGGTATCGAAACATGGTAAAAATATTAGCTTGTACAGAAGTCACATAAGAGGTACTACACAAATTCATTGTACAATTCATTTTGCTCGCACCATTCAAACCTTGCTGCGGTTCTGACATTACAGCTTGTAACTTCACAAGGACCAGCTTAATTCGGGCGAAGGAGCTCGGTAATTTTATACAAGAGATGGCTGGTAAATGCCAGCCGGATTGCAACGAACATCATCGCGAGGACGTACTGCCACACTAAGCATCACAACCATGTGAGATGCAAAAATCAAGTGACATCCACAACCGCACCACCACTGAGTTTTTTGTGTTCTGCCTCATGCTCCTTGATGCTGTAGCTCAATCAAGTCTCTCCCAAAAATCTTGCAAGAGACTCAATCGCGCCAGCAACAAGCTCCAGGTAGATTGCACACTGTTGAGAAAACATAAGAGAACGGGTCGATAGGGAGAAACGCTTGGCACTTGCTTCCTGTGACTGAGCCACACCAGCTGCTTTATATAAACCATTCCTCCCAAGTCAGGCCTTCAACACTGTTCCACCCATGCTCAAGGAAAAAGATCACCATATCCTAATAGAGGAAATCCACAGCAATGATAAGCATGTCAGATGCTTTTCTTACCTGCCCAAGAATGCCAGTCTGAGTGAAGCCCTCTCCCACCAAGGCCGCAAAGATTCCAATGACGGCCCATGCACCATTGATAGCCTCGATCTCCCGCCACTTCTGCAAGAAGGGAATGGCGAAAGAATGAAGTAAGACAAGTACAGTTAACCGCAACCAACAGCACCTCACACCACGATCACGGATGACAAGACAAGACAGCCCGGGTCGCTGTGAGGCAGAACCGATGCAAGTCTCATTCCATCTTAAACCAGTCACAGATGCACGTGACCTGAGTCAAGCGCGCCACACTTTGGTCAACAGCTTTCTGAATGTACAACTTGTTCTGAAGTTCCAAGTTCTGAATAAAGTTTCTTATCTCTTCTTCCTAGTTTCTCCATACCCTTCCTCCAGAAAGCGATTACAAACTGCATCCGGCCAGACTGGGCCCGGCCCACGCTCTTAGAACCGACAATTTGTCATCGGACGAAACTCCCAGAATGATGACGAGGCTCCAATCTTGGCTATGACGGGCATAAAAAAGGCTCAAATCACACCGAATTTGCTGTTATCGCGCCGACGAAATCAGTTGTAATTTTTAACGCCGCTTTGGCAATCTTCGAATCATATTGCCCTAACAGCCCCGCACCATTAATATGTACAACTACCTTGTTACACAAACGCTTGCCTGTTGCGACGCGGCCTTGGCGCGTTTCTTGAGGTCCTCCTGCGCTATCCGTTTCGCCTCGACTGGATCCACCAGCAAAACCTGCTTCGCACCGCGAGGTGCTCCCTCCAGTCGCGCTGATCCCCTCGCAAGGCGCATTTCCTCAGCTGCCGCGGCGCCGTTATCCGCTGCGCTGATTGCGCGAACAATCGGTCGCTGATAGGACCACAGCAAAGTCATTGGCGGAAAGGAAACGCTTATCGGCAAATTAGGGAACCTTAAGGCATTCGACTGAAGGATTCATTTACGGACAAACTTTGAAGAAAGAATAATAAGCCGACATGCTTACTCTTTGCGATAGCCGCGCCGGCCGACGGATTGAACAACTGCTCTCATAATGTGTTCGCAAGTTGGAGGATTCATCCAATCGCTGACTCAACGGGCTCCCCAACAGCGCCGGTCTGCAGCTTGATATAGCGAAACATGAATAAGCCATGGCGGCTAAACGCAGGAGGTACACGGCTTATTGCTGCAGACGCGGCTATTGAGGCAGTCGATCACTCCAACAGAAAAAGAATTTGTGACGCCATAGTCTCTGTAGCCACCACCACATATGCTACCTTGTTTGTATCTTTCAGGTGGACTTGGTCCACATTCCGAAGCTTGGAAGTGATGATGGTGGTTCCTAGGAGTGTGGGGGCGTGGACGAAGCTGATTGGCCAAAATGAACAAGTGCTTCTTCGTCATGAGAAGGGGGGACGTTTTGGTGCAGCCTGGTTTGCTGCACGATCTGCTCGGTTCTGCAGGGTGTAATGTTTTCATGAGGATGGCACGGAGACCCATGAAAGGCCCCTGCGAGACGCAACGAGAATCAACGAAACCAGTTACGGATACTCCCAAGGTATTGTATTCGTCTCTGGGGCTGGAGTGACGCATGCTCAGCCGCTCGATAATTTCCAGATACATCCAACGGTTTGAGCTAGCCTGGAGCTTTCGAATCCCTTGTGCGGCTGTTCGGTCAATGGTTAGGCTCGGTGGAATATGGTAAAAGTCTTCGAGTCCATTGTACTTTTGATTATGTGCTCCTCCGCTCGTTAGAATGACAATTTCGAACTTCCTTGAAAATGCACTTTTTCCCGCCCTGGAAACTTTCGCCAAGGGCGTGACGCTGACGTTGATCATGGAAGAAACCATGGGAGTCCTTCACAAGTCCCCAAAGGTGACTTTTGAGATACATTTAGGATACGATTGATGTTCCGCCAGAACCATGAAGTACGCGTATCTCTGACGCTTCAGTCGAAAGAGTGAAGTTAGCTACTTTCTTACCATGGATGAGATCGGTTGTCGCGTGCATTCGTTTTCATTGGTAGTTGATCGAAGAAGTGGCGATTTGTCTCTTGTTGAGGGAGGCCGGACCATTGGTGCTGGTCGGCAGGGTCTACCGGAACATGGTTGTGTAACCTCGAAAAGCTATGCAGGATCCCTTCTTTCCGCGCTAAACACTCTCGACGACGCGGCCGAGGAAAGCAGCGAGCTTCGCGATTTTTTGCAGCGTACGTCTCAATTCGCTTGCATTTTTTTTTTTTTTTCAGCGTAATCAGCACTTCGTCAATTCATTCGTTGGACGAATCCGTTCTCCAGAAGCTAGCATATCACGCATCCTTCGGCTCGCATAAATCCGCTTTCTCCGTTCTCCTGATGCTATTGATCCACGCAATACTGACCTTCTCAGCAGGAATGTTTGCATGCTTTGAGACGTCTCAATATACCCACCCCTTGACAATATTTTCTTCACCAGGAACGCGTGCTTCCCTCCATTCTGCTACGGGAGCATGTCAAAGGCAAGATCACGGAACCCACGAACCACTTGTGGAGAGAGAGACAGCAGCGGAAATGTCAGGCGCATCGTCAGAGGTCGTCAGTCAGCAGAAGGACTTGCTTGATTCCGTCGCTGATGAGCCACGAATGAAAAGCGCAAGTCTTCCGGTTCAGGTGGACTCAGATGCTGCAGGCGCAGGACGCGTCTCAACACCATCCGCCGTCTCACCACCATGCGTTATGGCCAGTCATGCCCTGCCAGGAAGCGGCATTGTGTGTTCAGGTGCAACCGCTTCTGTTGCAGAAGGATCAGAGGCAGCAATGAAGTCTCGGGAATACCATCCACCAGCATGTTTAGAGCGGGGGGCTGACCCCTCTGGAGCATGCTTGCAGCGAGGGCCTGAACCAGCAGCACTATTCAAGTCAGCAGAGCAACCGTCCGAGCCAGCACAACTGTCCAGGGACGCACAATTACCCAAGATAGCGCAACCGTCCAAGGAAGCACTACCGTCCAAGGAAGTACAACCGTGCAAGGATACACAACTTTCCAACGAAGCAGAGGCCTACCAGCCCAATCAGCATCTTGATGCGGCAGATTTGGAGACGCCATACAGGTCTCAGAACACAGCAGCTGCTGCTGGCGTTACTTCTGGCCCTATAGCTGGTAGTGGCGCTACAGACGCTTCCGGTGCTACAGCAGCCGTTGGCCTCACGGCTGTTGCTGGCGCTACAGTTGCTGTTGGCCTCGCGGCTGCTGCTGGCCGTACAGCTGCTGCTGGCCGTACAGCTGCTGCTGGCCTTACAGCTGGTTCTGGCGCTACAGCTGCTTCTGGCGCTACAGCTGGTTCTGGCGCTACAGCTGTAGCTGACGCAGCAGATCCACGGCCTTCCTGTCTGTGGCTTGACAGCAGCCAGAGGAACGCAGCTGCAGACACACAGGACGGAGCACATTGCTCTCCAGGCATCGCATCGATCACTGGTGATTCGATTATGTTCAAAGCAAAGAGTGGTTGCCGCGCAAGGGAAGGAAGTCTGGACATTCTAGACGAGCTCCTTCAACCCACTCAACCTCAAAATGTGAGTCAGAACTCTTAACCCTTGCCCCTATTTTTTCAGTCTCTCCATTCCGAAGCATCGTGATTCGTTCGTGCACCATTACACATCTTGCCAACTCAAAACTCTGCCCTTGTTTTCCGACTCCTTGCCTCTCTTGTCGTTTCCTTAACTGCTTTCCTTGATATTCCAGAAACACCACAGGGCTTCCGCCTCACGCGTCTTCATGGCGCCAAAGTTTAAGAAGCCACGCGCCGCAAGAGGCCTCACTGGTGGCGGCCAAGCCACACTTCGTTCGCTCGGACATGCCAATCTGGTAACGTGGATTTACACGCAATGCAGTTTCATGCTTGCTCAAATATTGCACCTTCCATGTGTAGCATTGCTCACCTGGTATTCTTCTGGGCAGAAACCAACTAGGCCACAATTGAATGGGCGTGTGCTTTTTCCTCCTCTCCCCTTTCTACCCCTGGATGTTTTCAGGTTGAAAAGGGCCACAAGGTGAATCGGCTACTTCACAAGACCATGAGCAACCCAACCAAGAATCTCTCTACACAGCAGTGCCACCTGCAGCCATCCCTGCGAGTGCAAAGAAGTCGAGACTTGGGCCCTCCCCTTCATTCAGAGCCTCAGCTGCACCCACAAGTGCGAGCAGGTTCAAGAGCATCTGGAACGGTGGTTGAGGGAGAAGAGAACGCTGGTGGTCATATGGGTGTGATTGCAACCCGAGGACTGAAACGCAAGGCTGGGGCCGATGGTCCTGGTGGTATACCACCGCTGCATGCCATGGCTCCTGGATCGAAACGCAAGCCATTAGCCGCGATCGACAACTTACAGTCTGCTGCACCAGGCGATGCAGTGCCAGGGGGTTTTCTCCTCCAGAGTGCGTCTGGCAGGAAGGTAGACGTGTCAGCTGCAGCGGTTGCAGGCGTGATGAAGCATTTTGGGGAGGATGGTGCAGATGCTACTGCTGCCGCCTCTCCTTCCGCCCTTCCTCTGGATGCAGTGCGCAACGCTCATGATGCTGAAGAATGGCAGCAGGGGCAGAAGGGGATGCAAGGACCGCAAGGGCAGCAGGGGCAGCAGGGAGTGGAAGGGCAGCAGGGGATTCAGGGGCAACAGGAGCAGAAGGGAGTGGAAGGGCAGCAGGGGATTCAGGGGCAGCAGGGAGTGCCAGTGACAAATGAGTCAACAGCTGTTGCTCTCACCACCGCATTGAACCCATCTCCCTTGTCACTGCCACCAGAACCACCACCACAACCACCACATACAGCTGCAGCTCTCATAACCACCGCACAGGACCCATCTCCTCTGTCACTAATACCGCCACAGCAGCAACCACCACCACGAACACCTGCTCGTGCAGCAAGTTTGTTCCAAACAGCCCGGGGCAAGCCAGTCCATTTGTCTTCGGCTGCTGTGGACAAGGCGTGTGCTCTGCTGGGCGTGCAGCAGCATGACAGACCACGTTTTGGTGATGGTAGTGCTAATCCGGGGCGAGGTGAAGTGGAAGGATCAACTGTCAGGGCGAGTTTGTTTCAAACCGCTTCAAAGAAGCCAGTGCGCGTGTCTGCAGCCGCTGTAGACAAAGCGTGTGCTCTGCTGGGCGTGCAACAGTGTCAGAGGCCACGGTTTGATGCCCCTCAGATCACACCACCTCCACTGCTGAACGCTCAAGGCCACATGGGGTCAGAGTTCAACGCGCCTCAAATCATGCCGCTTACACACGTGCCCCCGGCTCTGCTGAACGCTCATGGGCACGAGGGGCAGAGCTCTCATGCGCCTGCAGCAATGGAGCTTTCAGTGCGGAACTCAGGAGCAGAGCTGGCAGTACTGGCGCAGCCAGATGCTGGAGCAAGTTTAGTGGGAGCGACTGCGGGAGGGAGTCTGTTCCAAACCGCCCGGGGCAAGCCAGTCCCTTTGTCTTCAGCTGCTGTTGACAAAGCGTGTGCTCTGCTGGGCGTGCAGCAGTGTGAGCCTGCACGGTTTGACATACCCAGAATCGCACCACCCAAACACTGTCCCTTAGCACTGCTGGACGCTCAAGGGCATGAGGAGCCAGCAGGAATGGAGCTTTCAGTGCGGAACCCAGGAGCAGAGCTGGCAAGAGTGGCGCAGCCAGATGGTGGAGCTGGTTTGAGGGGAGCTATACCAGGGGGAGCGACTGTAAGGGCGGGTTTGTTCCAAACTGCCCGAGGCAAGCCGGTTTCCGTGTCTTCAGCTGCTGTGGACAAGGCGTGCGCGCTGCTGGGCGTGCAGCAGGGGCCGCCAGCACTGCTGGACGCGCAAGGGCATGAGAGGCAGAACTTGCATGTGCCTACATCAATGGACCTTTCAGTGCGGAACTCGGGAGCAGAACTAGCAGTAGTGGTGCAGCGAGATGGTGGAGCTGGTTTGAGGAGAGCTTTACCGGGGGATGCGATTGTAGGGGCGGGTTTGTTCCAAACTGCCCGAGGCAAGCCGGTTTCCGTGTCTTCAGCTGCTGTGGACAAGGCATGCGCGCTGCTGGGCGTGCAGCAGGGGCCGCCAGCACTGCTGGACGCGCAAGGGCATGAGAAGCAGAGCTCTCATGCGCCAGCAGGAATGGAGCTTTCAGTGCGGAACCCAGGAGCAGAGCTGGCAGTAGTGGCGCACCGAGATGGTGGAGGTCGATTGGGAGGGGCTAGTCAAGGGGGAGCGACTGTACGGGCACGTTTGTTCCAAACAGGCCGAGGCAAGCCAGTTTCTCTGTCTTCAGCTGCCGTTGACAAGGCGTGTGCTCTGCTGGGCGTGCAGCCGTGTAAGAGACCAAGTTTTGATGCGCCCAGGATCAGCGGCGACCCTGCCGTGCCTTTGCTGCAGGGCGCAGGAGCAGAGCAGGCGAGTGCGATATGGCCAGATGGCGGAGCTAGTTCAGGTGCAGCGACTGGAGTGGAGGATTCGTTCCAAACAGCCCGCGGCGAGCCGGTGCACATATCTTCAGCTGCCGTGGACAAGGCGTGTGCTCTGCTGGACGTGCAGCAGTATGAAGGTCCTCCACAGTTAGAAGCACCAAGGAGGATCAGTGGTGAGCCAACAGTGCGTCTCCTGGAGAGCTCAAGTGCGGGAGCAGCAGAGCAAAAGAGAGCGGCACAGCGAGGTGCTGGAGCTAGTCCGGGGGGAGTTACTGCCGGGATGGCTTTGCTTCAAACAGCTTCAGAGAAGCCAGTTTTGTTATCTTCAGCCGCTGTGGACCAGGCGTGTGCTCTTTTGGGGGCGCAGCAGCATGAGAGGCCGCGGTTTGAAGGCAGTGCTAGCCTGGGAGGCGCGACTGTCAGAACAGCGGGTCTGTTCCAAACCGCTTCAAAGAAGCCGGTGCACATATCTGCAGCTTCTGTGGACAAGGCGTGTGCCCTTTTCGGAGTGCAGCAGCGTGAGAGGCCGCAGCTTGAAGGCAGTGCTAGTCTGAGAGGAGCGACTGTTCGAACAGCGGGTCTGTTTCAAACCGCTTCAAAGAAGCCGGTTGTTTTGTCTTCAGCTGCAGTGGACAAGGCGTGTGCTTTTCTGGGCTTGCAGCAGCATGAGGGGCCACGGTTTGAAGCTCCCAGGATTACACCTTCTGGAAGCACCGCACTGCCCTGTCCCCCCCAACCATGTGCAGCGATTGAACCATCTCCACATGCTCCCCTCGCCCTTCCTGCTCCTGATCCTGCTGCTGCCCCGCCTCCTCCTCTCGCTCTGCCTGCTCCCGATGCAGCTGATGAATCCACCCTTCGTCCCCCTTCCCCTCCTTCCTGGCCTCTCGCTCTCTCCCAACCCTCATCACAAGGTGTGGCCGTGCCTGCGGTGGAGGCTCGGGCAGCTCTTGCCAGGGCAGAAGAAATGGTTGCGAGCCTGTTTGACCTGGGGACATGGGGTAGTGGTGGCGGAAATGGGAGCTATGGGGAGGGGAGTAGGAGCGATGGTAGTGGGAGTGGGAGGGATGGTGGTGATAGTGGGAGGGGAGGTGGTGGGAGTGGGGCGGGCGGTGGAAGCGGGGAGGGCGATGGAGGTATGACGTGGCAGAGAGGTTGCAATGGGGACAATGCTGGAAGCAGGACAGTGGACAGGGTCACCGTCTATCAGCCCCAACCACAGCCCCAGCCCCATGGCCCTCACAACAAGCAGCGGGAGGTCAACGGCACTAGTCACTCGCTCATGCCTCTGTCAGGCAATTCTTCTAATCCATTCAACCCGCACACGCCGCTACCCAACCTCGTCTCTTCTCTCCCCTTCTCCACACCCCCTTCCTCTACATACGCTTCACCCCCCCTCCTCTCCTCCATTCTGACAAATTTAACACACCAGGAGCCCTTTCTACACAGTCACAGTACCCATCGCAAACGCCAACTTCGCTACCACCACTTTCCGTAGATTCCTTGTCCGGCTCACCACTGCACAAGCAACCCACACAACCCACGCTCCCCACACAGCCATTGCAGCGCACGCATCCCACGCATTCCATGCAGCCCATGCAGCCCAGACAGCCGTTGCACCCTTCGAAACAGCATCCCACCGCACAAAACCCCACACATGCACTCTTTCAGTCACCTGCAGCTTCCCCACACACCCCCGCACTCGCCCAACCACCTCCCCTCCGTTCCTCCAATCCTATCCACCCCACCTCTCCTCTCCGCCCCTGTCCTCCACTCCACCCGTCCTCTCCTCTGCACCGTTCGCGTATCCCATCCCACCCCTCCAACTCTCCTCTCCACCACTCTCATACTCCCCTCCACACCTCTCCCAATCGGCTCCACAACGCTCCCCTCCACACTTCCCCCACCCCTCTTCACCGCTCTGGCACCACTCTCCGCCGCCCCTTAACTCCCCTAAACCGTTCTCCGTCCACCTCGCCCTCTCCACGGCGGGCGTTCATACCCCCCACCTCCACCATCCCCTCCCTCTTCTCCAAGCACCGCCCGCCTCGCTCCCGCTCTGCCGGCCTGCCACCCATCCCCATGCGTTCACTCACTGATGCCGCTGATCCGCCATCTCTTGACGTCAACCAGAAAGCAGCAGAGGGACGTGTGACTGCTGACAATGGTGCAGTATTAAAGTCAATGAGTGGGTCGAGGACTGATGGTGCAGGTGCAGCAGGATCAGGAGCAGGCGGGGCAGAGGGCGCGGGTGCAGTAGTGATGGTTCGACAGCAAGAAGGGGGGCTGAGGCGACTGCATGATCTGTACAGGGATGCGGATGGGAAGCCGAGGAGGCGGCCCTGCATGGCTGAGTACTTCGGGTATCCGCCTGGGCTTGAACGAGTGGTGAGTGTTTGTGGGTTTTCTGCTGTGGTGTGACTTGATGTATGCTGTGCTGTTAACCTCGAGAAGAACTGGCTGCGTGTGTGTGAACACACAGAAAGTGGTTGTTCCCCTCACATTAGTGGCACTGCTGCTGCATTGGGCTCATCATCATTCCTGCAGCCTTCTCGACCTGTATCTCTGCCGTGATACTTACACTTCTTGCTGCAATTTCGCTCTCATTCTTCTCCTCTGCTTGTCGTCCTGTGATTGGCAGGAGGGCAAAGTGTCAGAAGAAGTGCGCAAAATGACAGCAGAGTCCGCCCTCACATTTGTCTTCACAATCCCATCTGCTGTTCAGTCCCAGCAACAGCAAGCACAGCCACCATTGCTCACTGCCTCATCACTTCCCGCTCTGATAGCACTACCAGAAGACTCATTGGCAGCAGAACCACCTCCACCAGTAGCACTGCCACCAGCCACACAGCCATCACTCTCACCACCATCACCGCCGTTACCCCAGCCACCACCATTACTACCTTCATCACCTCAACCATCGCCACCAGCAGCTGGGTTCAGAGGTGGGCGAGAGGGCTCAGAAGCGGCAGATGTAGGTGACATTGTACAGGTAGCCGGTGCAACAAACGTTTCAGGTGCAGCAGACGTTTCAGCAGACGCTGTAGGTGCAGCAGGTTTGGCAGATGTAGCAGATAGAGCTATTCTGACGGCAGCTGGAGGTGATGCAGCATGCGCAGCAGATGTTGCCAGTGCAGCGGACGCTGCAGCAGGTTTAGCAGATTTAGCAGACAGGGCCAGTGGTGCAGCCGCAGGCAATCATATGGAACATGACGTAGGGTCATGCTCTGGCGACAGACAAGCGCATGCAGCAGCCACAGAGGCTGGGTGCGTCATCCGAAGTGATTTTATCGCAGCAGCATCAGCATCACCAGCAGAGGGAGCGGAGGGAGCTCCAACAGGAGAAAGACGCGAAGGAACAAGAGGGGTATCAGCACAAGGAGGTGACGCCACGGCTGCTGTTCTGACGATTGTTGGAGCTCCAGATGGTGGAGAGAGGGCGGGTGTGGGGGCGAAGGATTTTCAGGACATGCTGATAGCAGCAGGCGCCCATCCCAAGTTCGCCACAATAGAGTAAGCCACCGCCTTCCCCCCTCCCTCCTGTGGTCTCTGCCCTTTAGATTTGATTTGCGTTCTCTACTTATATGCTTGTTAGACAGCCTTCTCGTGCTGCATATCCTTGCTGTCTTCTCCTTTCCTTTTGGGCACCTCCGCCCACCGCATGCAGCCATTCCTCTCTCGCACCCTATGTCAGCCCGTTGCAGGTGCGTGGCGATCTACCACCGCTGGACTGTGCAGTGTGAAATCTGGCCTGCCAGGAGCGCAAAATATGAGTCCACTTCAATCAAACCTCCATTCCCGCCCCTCGATTTCCCTCAACACCTTCACCCTTCCTTTCCCTCCTCTCTCAGCCGCCTCCCACAGGTGGGTGACGAACCACTACCGCTGGGTGGTGTGGAAGCTGGCCTGTCAGGAGCGCAGCCTGTAAGTCCAACTTCAATCAAAGCCTCACCCTGCCACCCGCTCCTGTGCCCCCCAACCGCCCGCCTGTCGCATCACATCACAGGTGGGTGACGAACCACTACCGCTGGGTGGTGTGGAAGCTGGCCTGTCAGGAGCGCAGCTTCCCTCGTCGCCTGGCAGGCCGGATGCTGACGGTGGAGAAGGTGCTGGAGCAGCTCAAATACAGGTGGGCGTTAATAAAAGGATAAAGAGCAGCTCACATGCACATGAAGTTCTGGTGAGATGGCCCGCCAGCTTCCCTCGTCGTCTGGCAGGCAGGATGCTGACAGTGGAGAGGGTGCTCCAGCTCGAGTACAGGTGGGTGTCAAGAGAGTGATAGAGGGCAGGTCGCATGCACATGAAGTACCGTTGAGATGGCCTGGCACAAAATACCAGCTTTCCCCGTCATCGTCTGGCAGGCAGGATGCTCACGGTAGAAAGAGTGCTGGAGCAGCTCAAGTACAGGTGGGTAAAAAGGATCTGGACGGTAAGGTGCTTATTTGCTTGCCCCTGAGAAGGTTACAGTCTGCCAGCTTCCCTCGTCGCCTGACAGGCAGGATGCTGGCAGTGGCGAATGTGCTGGAGCAGCTCAAATACAGGTGGGTGTCAAGAGAAGGCTAGAGGGCAGCTCACACGTGCGCACAGTACCAGTGAGATGGCTTGGCACGTGTGACTTCCATCTCTCCCTCAGGCACAGACTGACTCTGCCAGGGTCCGTGTGCTTGACATCTCTGCTGTGCCTCTCTGTTCCCGTGTGCTACTGCTGGTGCCCCCCTTCGTTGGTTGCGATGCCCCTGCAGGTACGAGAGGGAGGTGAATGAAGCCAAGCGGTCGGCTCTGAAGAAGGTGTGCGAGCGGGACGCTGCTGCTGGCAGCCCTATGGTGCTCTGCATCTCTGCTGTGTGGTCCCAGCAAGGGGCGAGTAGAAGAGGGGTTGGAGGGGAGGAGGGAGCGCGAGGGGCTGAGAAGAGTGATGGGGAGGAGGAGGATGGGGAAGAAGAGGAGAAGAGGCAGGAGGCGGGGCGGCGGGGAGGGGCGGTGGTTGGGGGGGCTCAGACAGCAGTGATTGAAGTGACTGATGGATGGTGAGGAGAGGAGATCATGTCCCGTCTGCACTGCTTGTGCTACTTCTGTTTTGTGAACTCTTAAAAGTACACCAAGCTCCAGTGATTGACCCCCTCCTCCTCACGCACCTCTCTCGCCCCCACTATGCTTCCCTCTTCGCCCAGCTACTGGCTGCCTGCTCACCTCGATACTCCCCCCCGTACATCTGCACCCACCACAGACATGCACTCCCCCCTTTTTTTCTATCCTCCTTCCTCTCTAACACCCCTCCCCCCTCCCCATGCCCCCGCTCCCTTTTCATCCTGTCCAGGTACTGGCTGCCTGCTCGCCTCGATGCTCCCCTCACAGCCGCACCCCTTACCACCATTCCAACCCACCCCCCCCCCCCCCCCCCCCCCCCCCCCATCCAGGTACTGGCTGCCTGCTCGCCTCGATGCTCCCCTCACAGCCGCACCCCTCACCACCCTTCCAACCCCCCCCCCCCCCCCATCCAGGTACTGGCTGCCTGCTCGCCTCGATGCTCCCCTCACGGACCTTCTGAATCGTGGTCGCCTCTTTGTTGGCCAGAAGATACGGGTGAGTGCACTCATTCAATTTGAATAGTGATGAAATTGTATCAAAAGCCATGTGACTGTTTCCTTTTTTGTGTCAACCCCCCTCGTGTTTATGGCCTTTGTGGGGTGCATCAGCGATTGTGTTTTGTTTTTTCAAGTAACAGCCATGGATGGAGGGGTTAACGCAGCAGCAGTTTTTTATGTGTTCCCGGGACCTTATTAACCCCCACTATGAACGCCATTCTGACCGTACTTAACCAGCCTGAATCTGAATTTGAACCTGTTTTCGAACCCCGCTCTGATCCTTATGCTGACCTACATCCGAACCCTTATGCGCTGTCTCCTTTTTCTCTCCCATCACCACCTCACCTCGCCCCATCTGTGACAGGTGTGTGGCGCTGTGCTTAATGGCTGCATGGAAGGTCTCCCTCCCCTCGAGGTATTCCCCCTATTGCCTTGGCCTCTTCATTCATTCTATCTCCGTTTTTCAATCCTAATTTAGGCCTCTTCCTTTGCTTTCACCTGCCTTCCTCGTTCCTTGTGCTCAGCTTTCTTACTATTGTCCTCCATGCACCGTTGTAGACCTTCATCCTTCCCTCTCTACCTCCTCTCTCCGTTGCCTCTCCTCTCGCCGCAGGCATGCACAACAGCAACGCTCGCCCTGCACTTCAACGGCACATTCCCAGCTCACTGGTCCACCAAGCTCGGCTTCTGTACGTGCCCCACGCTCTCCACCCGATGTTGTTGAGAATTTTCAAGATCATTCCTTTTTCTGATTCCCAAAAACACCTTCCCAGCTCACTGGTCCACCAAGCTCGGCTTCTGTACATGCCCCACAACCCTCACAAGATGTTGTCGAGAATCCTTAAACCACCCGCTCATCTAATCTCATTGGTCCACGAATCTGGGCATCTGTATGTGTTCCACAACCCCACAAATGGCACCAAAATATCTGGGAGTAGGACTCGGTACAAGGAAGCTCTGCTGCTTGCCCTTCTGTTCCTTCTTCTCCATTGTACTTTGGTTCTTTCTTCTCTAAAGGTCAACAGAAGCCGCCCGTCCCAATGGCACTGCGCAGGGTGAGGGACAAAGGGGACCCGATCCCCCTCACGTGTGTGGCCATTGCCCGAGTCCATCCTGCGATGTACTGGTTTTTAAGTCGACTCAAAAATAGCCTGTGCCCTCCCTCACAACAGGCCGACAGAAGCCGCCCGTCCCAATGGCACTGCGCAGGGTGAGGGAGGACGGGGGCCCGATCCCCCTCACATGTGTAGCCATTGCCCGGGTGTATCCTGCAATGTACTGGGAGAAGAACACCGCAAGGGGAGCTGATGCTGCTGCTGCTGTGCCTGCTGGTACGATGCGCTCTGCCAGGGCTGAAGCAGTGGCAGCTCGCGAGTTCGAGAAAAGGTGAGGATTCTGGCGTTCGTTGTTGCGCGGGTTCATCCATGTACTAGGAGAAGAACACTGCAAGGAAAGCTGATGCGGATGCTGCTCCTGCTGTTGCTGCTGTGCCCGGTGGTACGATGCGTTCTGCCAGGGCTGAAGCAGTGGCGGCTCGCGAGTTTGAGAAGAGGTGAGGAATCCTGCATTCTTCCTTGCCTGCCTGCCTGCCTGGGTGTATCCTGCAATGTACTGGGAGAAGAACACCGCAAGGGGAGCTGATGCTGTTGCTGCTGGTGCTCCTGTGCCTGCCTGGTGGTACGATGCGCTCTGCCAGGGCTGAAGCAGTGGCAGCTCGCGAATTTGAAAAGAGGTGGGGGATTCAACTCTGAAAATAACTTATTTTCTCCCTCCTGCTCCTCCTCTTTCCCTCCTCCTTCCCTGTTCACCCCGCCTCTCCACCCCTGCCGTTCTCCCCCATCGTCCTCCACCCCTTCTCCCCTTCTTCTCCTTCGCCTTGTCTTCTTCTTCTCTACCAGGAGGGAGCAAGTGGCCGAGAAGGCAAGTCTTGAAGCAGAGAAAGAGCATATGGCTGAAGAGGCAGCAAAAGCAGCAGGCAGGGGGAGCAGAGGGAGAGGAGGAGGCAGAGGAGGAGTTGGTGGAAGGGGGGAGGGAGGGGGGAGAGCAGGGGCGGGGAGGATGGGGATGGGGCGAGGGCGGACCTCTGCTGGGTTTTCTCTGGGGCGGGGAAGGGGAGGGCTGGCAAGGGCGGAGAGAGAGGGAGGTCGTTTGTTACTGGAGTATGATGCTAGTGGGGATCCCGAGTCGTTTGTGGGTGGGCTGACTGCTGAACAACGTGCTGCCATGGAAAGGGCTCAGCTGCAGAGAGTGGTGAGTGGAGAGGGGTGGTTGTGGGCTGATATTGGGGAAGCGAGAGGGAGGTGGGCCATCTGCTGCTGGAGTGTGTTTTGCGCCCTTCTCCTCACGCTCTTGCTCTGTACTTTCCCCTTCGTCTCCTCATCCGCTAAATCACTCCCACAGGACAGGCGAAGGGCAGCAGATGAAGGGTTGAAGTTGCGGGACGTGTGTCCTCTCATGTTCCTTCCCGTCGCTTCCCCCTCATTCCCGCAATCACTGCCACAGGAAAAGGGGAGGGCGGCAGTGCAGAAGGCAGTAGATGATGCACTGGCAGATGAAGGGTTGAAGGAGCGGGACGTGTGTTCTGCCCTTCTTCTCACGTTCTTGTTCTGTGGCCCCGTCTTTGTCCTGTCATCCCCACCTACACTACCACAGGAGAAGCGGAGGGCAGCAGTGCAGGAGGCGGTAGATGACGCACTGTCAGATGAAGGGTTGAAGGAGCGGGACGTTTGCCCTGTGGTGAAAATTCGGGTGGTGGGACTTACTGGGAAGCGAACCAGGGAGGAGGGGATGGGGGATGACGAGGAGGGGGAGTGGGGCAGGAGGGTGCGGCAAGGCGAAGGGATGATCAGCATTTGGCGGCCCAGTGAGGAGCAGGTGAGACCTGGGTGCATAGCGCGGCATGGGGTGACATGGGGATTAGCATGCTATGGCATGGCATGGTTCGTGTGTGTGGCATCGGGTGGGCTTTACATGAAAAGGGTATGGCGTGGTATGACATGGTATGGCGTGGTATGGAAAGGTATGGCGTGGTATGGCATGGTATGGCGTGGTATGGCATGGTATGGCGTGACAAGGCACAATTCTTAGTTGCGGAAGACGCTCGACCCGTCTTGCGTCTAGCGTCTAGACGCTAGATGCAAAACACACCTTTAGACGCTAGACGCTTGGGCTAAATTTTTTCCGGGCAGCCCGGAAAAAAAAATCCGCGAGCTCGAAATTGAAATTCGCCATTTCGACGCGAAATTCAATTTCGTGCCATTAGAACCCCTTCCCACCCATTTCGACCATATAAACCCTTCTCGCGAGGAAGGGGAGGAGGAGGAGGAGGAGGAGGAGGAGGAGGAGGAGGAGGAGGAGGAGGAGGAGGAGGAGGAGGAGGAGGAGGAGGAGAGCTAGGAGGCGTAGTGATTGCAGGGATGATGTAGTAGTAATTTCCTTCGAGTTTGCTACTACTAGAGAGACATGGAAACGTAACTATGTATGATGAGATGTGAAGATTTTTGTGAAATCTAAGAATGGGGAAAAAGTTATGGTACGGGGAAAACTTGACCCCATTGTGACATACGAGCATGTCCCCCACCCTCCCCATGCCCCATAGATTTTTTTTGTCTGCCCGAATTTTTTTTAGCCTGCCCGGGCTTTCATCTAATACTGCATCTAATCTGACTCATCTAGCGTCTAGCGCCTTAGACGCTGCGTCTAGACGGACGCGTCTAAGACGCTAGACGCGTCTTCCGCAACTAAGGCACAATTTGCATCTCACCAATTATGGTTGCTCAATCGGTACTCTCAATTCGACGAGGACTGTATCCATTGCCACCTGGTGGGCAAATAAACAGAGCAGGTGAAGCAAGAAAGGACGTATTTCTCACGTTAATGGACGTATGGCATGAAGTTTCGTGGACATTTTTCTAATTCTCTTGGTCTTCTCTGCCCTTTTTCCCTTCCTTCCCCTCGCCACACTCCCCTCTCCCTTCTCTCAGCTGCAGGAGCTGGTGGAGGGCGGGGTGTATCTGGTGGCGGGCGTTCAGCCGTCTGCCACGAGGCGTGACGCCATTGGTCCACTGCTCTCCCTCAACGCCAACCGGTCTACCAAGTGGCGCCGACTTGAACCATCCTCCGTTCTAAAGAGCCTCAGGTCAGTCTGTGAGCCTCAGGCCAGTCAGTTTCTGACTCCCGAGTCAGGCATGCCCCGTTTCCTCTCTACAGTCTACCAAGTCTCATAGCACCCCACTGTTCCACGCCCTTTTCTCTACAAATTTCCTTCCCCACCTGCCTGCAGCTTCTCCTTCCCCCGTCGCTGCTGGAGCCCCCTCGCCTTGCTGCCTGCCACTCCCCAGGGCAGGGAGGTGGACGTGGTGGCACTGGTGCTGGCCGTGGGGCAGCCGCATGCCGTGGGGGCGTGGCAGACGGGGCAGTGGCTGCTGCTGCTGGATGGTTCAGGGGAGAGAGAGCATAGTGAGAATGATGGGGATGTTGGGAGAAGAGATGTCTTGGGGAGAGGTATAGGGATGAGGGGCGGTGGAATGACAACAGCAGGGGGTGGTGTTGCATCGGGTGTTATATATGCACCAACAGCACAGCCACTTCTGCAAACACCAGGAAAGGGAGTGTCGTCTGCATCGGCTGTGGAATCAACGTCCACACTGCCACCACCGCCGTCACCACCAACCCCAGGAGCAGAAACACCACCAGGATTACCCTCATCATCTGAACCTATGCACCAGGTTCGGGGGAGGCCCGGAGTCGTTGGGGGAGGGAGGTTTGGCGCAGGTGGGAGGGTTGGAGTGAGGGGTGGGATGAGCCTTCGGGGAGGAATGGGCAGAGGCAGCGGCGGCAGAAGTGGCAGTGGCAATGGCGGTGGCAGAGGCAGGCAATTGCATTCTGTCTGCGGTCAGGGTGGGGGCATTGCGTTGTCAGAAGGGGGAGCAGATGTATCACTGAGTATGGTGAAGGGGGAGATGGGCGGACAGAATGGCGGTGCAGCAGTGGTAGGCAGGAAGGATGGTGGGGCAGTAGTGGCAGGCAGGGGGGGTGGCGGGGCAGCAGTGGTAGCTGTGCAGGTGTTGGCGGGGGAGAGGGCGTTTGTGCCACTCGATCCGTCTCTCACGGGTTCCATAGTGAGTGCAATTGCAGTTGGAATGCCGTGTGTGTCTGGTTATGTGTTTGCCGTTTCTCATTATGTTCCTATCTAAATGCTTGTAAAGCTGGTGAGATGCTCCTGAATTTCCCTTTGCTTTACCCCTCCCTTTTGCTCTACCTTGCCTGCTCACCCACCCTGGCACTATGCCCATTTTCTTGATTTGCCCGCATTGCCGCTCGCCCTTCCCCTCCCTGTTGGCCACTTATTATCTGTTGCCCCCCTTTGTTCCCCCCCCCCTCCACCCCCCCCCTCCCTTTCCCCTCCTTCCTGCCCTTTTATGTTTTAACCCCAAAATCACCCCTCCCCCCGACCCCTCCTTAACCTCACTCCTGTCATTTTTCTTCACCTCAAGGTATCCTGGCGGAATCTTATACGAAGACTAGGTTGTTATCATGGAGAGGAAGGGGTGTGGATAGCGGAAGCAAGTGATGCTGCCGATATGTCGCTCACTCCACACTTCTCCCGAGATCCCGCCGAGAGACTGGCCGCGGACGCCTTGGCGAAATGGAGAAACAAAAACACAGAGGTACTGATTGTGGATTAGAGTATGCATCATGTTCTCTTGGATTTCAGTATTGTGATTATGCTAACTTTATTCGATTTGCACTGTGCAGGTTGTAGAAAGCTTGCGCCAAAGTATGTGGCCCCTATTATTTAATGGTAATAATGGGTAGTTGCACTTAGTAATGATGCACTGAAAGAATTCCCAAGCCAAGTAGATTTGTAAATGGCTGTGGAATATTGCTCGAAGTTGAAACTACCTGTATATAATAATTTTCACCAGAATATGTGACACCTGTACGTATTATTGATACGAGGGGCACCCTTTGTGGTCAGGTCTGCTCCCCGCCCGCCTGTCACTCTCACGTGTGCTTGGCTTGGTAGCCCCGCTCGTCTTTTTGCTGCGGTGTTGCACCCTGTTCTCGATAATTTCACGGCCCTAAATCCCGAACCGCGATCTCTTTTGCCCGAGAGGGTGTGAAATTAAGGGGGCAAATATTGTCCCTGATCATTTCACCATCGAGGCGCGGTACACCTGTGCTTCACACTTTTGAACGCGACCCGAACAGACCCAAGCTTCCCCACTTCTCTGGCTTTCTGACAGTATAAAAAGCCGATCATTTCTGCACATCTTGCTTCAATGATCCCTCACGGTTCGCCAGCTAGGCAGCCCAAAGCCTTTGCTGGTGATCCCGAGTCGGGGCGTGAAATTAGGGGGTGTAAAATAATCGAGAACAAGGTGTGCTTGCCAGCTCGTGACAGCCTGAGGATTCTAGGACCGGGTTCAATTCAAGCTCTCGAACAGTGAGGGTCAAAACTGTCCCTACAAGCTCAGAGAGAGGCCGAGCGCGGTGAGAATAATTATTGTGTGATTTCGACAGTGAGTGATGAGGTTGCTTTTGGGCGTTCCCCACCACTCCGTCGGAAAACCCCCTGGAAAAATGGGCCCTCCTCGGAACACAATAGCCGTTCCAATTACGCCAACAGTCACAATGTTCTGCTAGTTTATTGGTACAGTGTACATTTCCTCCATGGATCTCGCATCACCATACAGAACCACTGGAGTCCGAAGTTCATTGAGCAGTGCGAACGGAGTATGCTGTCCCCTACTCAAAAACTCTACTTTCTCAAAGTACCGTTCTGCAGCGCAACATATTTTCATCGTACCGCAATTTCGTCAACTCACTGCCATGATTATCCTCACCTCAGTCCCCCTCCCCCCCACATTAGTGCGTTGCGTAATCACGCGCAGATCCAGAGGGGATCGTTAGAAACCCTAGGAAGTATTTAATGGTATGGTCCTACAGCATTCTCCCATGCAACAGGTAGTGGAGCTGGCAAGTGCCTGCTAGCTTGCAGCCGTAAATCTTATCATGCAACAGCAGGCAATCAAATACAATCGGTGCTCATTTCAAGAACACCAGGTAGGCGGGCGGCATGTGAGTGAAACGAGTTTTGTCTATTTCGCCACATTCGCCATTGTCGCCACCGGCAAAATTGTGATTGTAAAATGAAATTGGAATGTGAAACGAGTCTAGGGGTTTAAGTTCGTAACCAGGTAAACTCTTCTGATGACAGGCAGCCGTTGTTGTTTATGAACTGTAGATGTTTTTCTTCCTCGACTTGGTGACTGTACCCCGAAATCAGCACAATCACCACTCACAGGCAAAACGTTCGCGAGTGACTGATTTTCTAATTGTGATGAGCAAATTTTTGTGATAGGCTGAGCATCGACTGTACTGGTTTTGATCGAGCGTTAACAGTGTATATTCCTCGAGAGCCGAGTTGTGCGTCCCACTGCTTGCAAGAGCTACTACTATTCAAGGACGCTGCAGCTGATTGTCAGCTGCTAAGTATGGCAGCTGGCAGAGCGCATTACGTGCGGAAACGTTTCCGTCACTTCTGTCCTCCCTTCGTCGACCACATTACTGGAGGAGTGGGTTAGCATAGCACTTTCTTTGTATGCGCTCCTGAACATAGACCATCATTAGGAGTTGACGCTACAACTTCAACTTATCAGCATCCACTGCGGTATACCAGCACTGCATTCCATCAGCATCCTATATCAGCGTTCGTTGAACTCCCTGACTAGCACTATACCAGTTTCACATCTCAGATAGGCGGAGACCGCATTCAACGTCACAATGATGCTTCCAGCAAGCCAGATCCTGGTGCCGCTGCTGCTGCAAGATTTCGACATCAAGTGAGTCTTCGTAGTGGTATCAGCATCAGTGAATGTGATTCGTGCTCACTAGTAGAGCCACCACCGTCCCACATTCGCTCCAGAATCCCGCCATTGATTGTTCTGACGATGCTCAAGCGGTTGTTTTCTATTATTCTCATCTCCGGTCGTTCCGCCTTTCCCCCCTCTTCCCCATACCCCTCCGCGTACCGCAGCTGGAAGCCCTCGAGTCCGCCGAGCAAGCGCGCAAGGCTGCGGGAGTTCAAGCACTTCATCCCTCACGACGGGCACGAGTGGCTCAAATACGGCCAGAAGGACATCTCGGGTGGCCGCTACTCACGGTCAGTTATATCAATCAATGCTCTCATCGAACGCTTTCTCCTCCTTCCTGTTTTTCTTATCTAATTTGTATCTTTCCGATAATTTTATGCCAAAACAATGTCTTGGAAAGATGTGCTACTTCTCTAGTTCTTAGACCCGTCCACCTCTGGATACGCGCTTGTTGTTTGGGCCGATGTGTAGAAGAACTCTCAATAATGACAGGGACCACAGTCTGAATCTTTTTTTGCCATCTCGCTCCGCCTTTCCTTTCCTCTCTCCAGGCATTATTTCCGCTGCAGCCACTCCGACAACGGACGCCGCTGCCCTGCGCGCCGAGTGGTGGACGTGCACACGCAGTTCGGCCAGCCTGGCGCCTCTGACCTCGCGCCACGTGTCACCTACTCCGGCAAGCACAACCACGCGCAGCCTGCCTCTCGCACCCCTTCCGAGAACGAGTCTCTGTTAGCAAATCCCATATTCCCTACAGAACGCGCCAAGCTCGCTGCCAGTGTCCGAGAGCAGCAGCAGGCTATCGCAGGTCACATGTTCCCGCTCCCGCGTGCACAGCTGCAGCAGCTTCCAGGCTCTGAGAAGAGGCAGCAGCATGCAACCACGCTCGATCTGTCTCTGATTCGCAGCGGCTTGGCGAAGGAAGATGGCGAGAGGTGTGACAACGAGTCGTGCCCACTCACACCCACCACGCCCACCTCGCTAAAGCCTCTCTCCCTGCCACTGTCCGCGCCGCTGTCTCCGCAGCTGTCTCCGCCACCTTCCACTCCGGTTTCCCTGTGGACTCCCGTTTCGCTCAGGCCGGTATCATCCAGCAGTGTGATCCTGCCTTCACCGAGAGCAGCTGCGGAGGAGGCTGAGCGGGAAGCAGGAGAGCTGCAAACGGGCTTGGTGAAGGGTAAACGGAAGCGGCCAATGTTGGCGGAAACAGGTGCTGATGACACGTCACGTGCAGATGCCGAAGGATGTCAAGGGTCTGAAATCAGCCTGACTTTGGATCATGGGGTTCTGCTGCTACCAGGCAAAGATCTTGAAACATCTCCGGTGACTCTGTCAGACCCTTTGGGTCATGGGTTGCTGCAGGCAGTCACGGATCGGGCTAACGCGAGCAACATGTTTGACACATGTGATCTGGGCCCGCTACAAGCAGATCCGACTGAGGCATGCCCAAACGGAGCTGCTGCTGCTCTTCCCAAATCGGGATCAGTGACTCGGCTGAGTCTGCAGAATGTGGAGGCCTTGGCTTCCCTAATCCCACCGGCAAACGATTTGAGACCGTCGGATCTGACCATGGATCAGGTGGCTCAAGATCAACAGTGCTGCTCCTGCTGCTGCTTCTCTCCCTGCCTGCTCTCTCGAGAACTGCCAGCTTTGACTGCGCCGTCTATGCGCTCTGCAGCAGGCGGATTCGTTTCGGCAAATGATTCATGCGATCTGATCTCCTCAGCTTTGGCCAATCATGGTGGAGGAGTGGTTGCCCCTTCAGCTGTGGGGGAGACGTTGGTGATTGTGGCGGATGAGACGGGGGTGATTCAGGTGGTGACGAGTGATGGAATTCAGGAGCGGCAGGGGAAACAAGCAGACAATATTCCAATGAACGAGTTGGATCGACGGGTTCCAGAGCTTTCAGACTCTCCTTTTTGGACTGGAATTGATGCTTCAGTGAGGGACATGGAAGGAAGAACAGCAGACGCCATTAGAGAGCTTGCGGGGCTTGATGTGTTCGATGATGAGAGAAGATGCGATGCACTTGTTATTTTGGAAGACTCCTTGGGCATGCTCCAAGTTGGACGTTGTCTGAGATAGTGAGAGGACTGGGAGTAGTAGAGGTGTACTCGTGCTCTAGCTTGGGTGCCAAAAGGTCATTGTTTGCATTTTTCGCAACCAGGTTGAGTGTCATACAAGTAGATCTGTATATATTGTACGTGGTTGAGAGAGACTAATTTACATTTATGTTTTGTCTGTGGAATGGTCGAAGTGTAGTTTTCCAGTCACCAGGAGATAATTTTGCAGTGCCAGGTGCCCGTAGCGGAGTTGACAGGAGTTTGGGCGGGAGCTGAAACCTGCTGACAGGTGTCGCGGGCCGTCCGATCGACCTGTCCATTCAGCTGAGCGGCAACATCCCTGGAGATGGGGCGAGAAAGATGGAGGAACTGTTCATGGTCGGTCAGATTGGATAGGATTGGATGAGTTTCTGTCAAACTTTTCGTGCCTACCCAACCCAACCCTTCAAAATTGTTAACCGTTCTGAGACGAACAAAATCGTACTCAACCATGTCATAGCGAGCTCGTGACATCCATGCAAATGATCACCTTTCCTGCTTGTCAACCTCCTGCTTCGTGCTTGCTGCTTGCTGCCGACACAGCTTGAAATGGAATCTCCTGCTCTCTCTGCCTAGTTCAGATTGAATAGAACCCAAGCAGCAGAAGAGGGCGCTCATTCTTCCTGCTTTTGACTGTTTTTATTTAAGTTTCTTCTTCAAAAGCTTGAGCCCTGCGCGGAACGTGTCCACCTCGCGTATTCAGCCGCCTTTGCCTACTGCAGTATAACCTAGCGATTCCGAAGTTTCGCAGCGGGGTATTCACATTTTTTCGTTTTCCGGCTATATTAGGTCAAAATGCCGTCAAAGAAGAATAAGAAGAACAAGAACAAGCCGACAGTGAACACTGGTACGAATTTGCCACTTGCTAGCTCTTGTACGCATCAATGTCCCTTTTGAGATATTTCATGTGACTCCAATATTCTAGATCCGCGACGCAAACTAGTACCTGTACTTTCCATACCCCCGTCTATGCTTCAGCTGCAGAGAAAACGTCGTCCACGGCGACCGCGAAAGGTACGCCCGAGACCCCGACCACTCCTGCGACACCTGCGTCTCCTGCGACTCCTGCGACTGAATCGGATGCAGTCTCGACCAAAGGTCAGCTCAGGGACTCTCTGCATCAAATGTTCTTGCATCTTCCTTCCATCCTTATCATTTCTACTTGCGGATCTGGCAAGGAAAGAAACGGATCTGTGTTTTTGCGTGATGTTTTCTTTATTCCTTGATGTCGCGTGGACTTTCTGAACCAGGCGACGTGAAACCAGAGGAGCCACAGAAGGCTGCTCAGGCGACTCAGGCGACTCAGGCGACGCAAGCGACTGCGGCAGAACAGTCGGCTCAGGCAAATGCTGCGTCGAATGGGGGAGCTGGCGGAGGAGGAGGGGGAGGGAAGAAGAAGAACAAGAAGAAGCCATCCTCTGAATCCGTCGGTGTGCAAGGTGAGGGAATCGTGTGTACGCCATGGTAAGCAAACTGTGGCAATGTTATGCTGCACGCTTCATGGTTGCTCAGCATTTCTGTCATGCTGGAATAAGACGCGAATTTATCGACGGAAAATGGTGCGAGATCAGGTAGCGACCAACTTCTGTATTAGTTTCTTTTCTACGTCGGGTATCAAAGGGCGAAATGAAGGAACCCCTTGTGAGACCCGCTATTGAAGTTAAGTGGTCTATTCTCCAGCTGGGGAGATGGAAGTAAAACAACACTTTGGCGTGCTGATTTGTTTCAGGTTCGTGCAGTATTATTCATTGTGTAATGTCCAAAACGCTCTGTATGTGGCGTTGCCGGGGTTGTCAATCGCAAACTCGTGGGAGATTCAGTTTTTCTTCTGTTGCCTACTTGTGCTCATTCCCTTCCTTTCCAGCAGCTCCCGCAGCTGCCACGCCACAAGCCTCAGCAGATGCTCCGGCGTCTCAGCCCAAGGAAGGGGGGGAGGTCATGCTGGCAGCTGTAGCAGCAGTAGTTGCTGCGGCTGCCGTCTCTGTTGCTCCCGAGCCAGCCCCTGAACCGTCACCAGAGCCTGCTCCTGCAGCCCCTGAACCTGCACCTGAAGCACCTGAACCTGCACCTGAAGCACCTGAACCTGCACCTGAAGCACCTGAAACCGCACCAGCAGCCCCTGAGCCTGAACCTGCACCAGCAGCCCCTGAGCCTGAACCTGCACCAACAGCTCCTGAACCTGTACCAGTAGCCGCTGAGCCTGCACCTGAACCCGCAGCAGCAGCCCCTGAGCCTGCACCTGCACCAGCAGCCCCTGAACCTGCACCTGTGCCAGCAGAAGCTGAGCCTGCTCCTAAAGCACCCGAGCCTGTGCCTGCAGCCCCTGAACCTGCTCCAGAAGCCACACCGGTATTATCTGAGCCTGCACCAGCAGCACCTGAACCAACGCCTGCTGCACCTATTACAGCGCCAACACCCATTCCTGAACCAGCAGCCTTTGAGGCTGCACCGCCTGCAGTGGAAGAGAAACAACCAGAATCAGAGGCCACGGTTGCGGTCACAGAAAGCAGCAGTGGCGCAGAAGATGCAAGGGAAGGGGCTGGGAGTGGTGCAGAGAAGCAGGGTTCTGCTGGCACAGCCGCAGCAGTGGTTGCCGCTGCTGGATCATCGTCATCCGTGGGGGTTGAAGAAGAGACAAAGGTTGTGGTTTCAGAAACGCGGTCTAGTGCGGGAAGTGAGGCTGAGAAGCCAGTGGAGAAGGATCGGAACGGTGTGGAGGGAGAGAAACCGGTCGCGACTTGCCAGGTATGCCACCTTCCTACATAATATTCTCCCCCCCCCCCCCCCCCCCCCCCCCCTCCAATCCCTCCCAATGCATGTGATTATGGTTGCAACCCACCATCCGGTACGTTGTGTGGCTTTGCTGCTTCTTTTGGCTTCTGCTGTTGTAAAAAAGCACCGAAATTTTAACCCATTTCGCATCTTGCTTCTGAGTCCTGACTCGTTGACTTGTGCTGCAATACCGTGCTTATATACAACAGGAGCCAATTGAGATCATTGAGCCGAAGCCATTACCTAACTGCTCTGCACTCATCTGCTGGATCTTTGGCTGGACTGTGTAAAGTGTGACTACGTCAAATGCATTTGGCAAATTAGCAGCGGAATGCAGAGAATGGGCAAATTTAGTACAGCTTCCTAATGAGCTGTTGCTAGAATGAGCCTGGCTGTTATGGATTCTCCCTACGCCACTGGTAAATCTGGTGTTTTTTACCACTGCTTGCTTTCAGTACTCATTTTCACACGTTCCATCAGAGCATTACGCATATACTTCATTAGGTCATCTTTGTTCAAGTTGTTAAATGAAGCAGAGCTTGAAGATTTTAAACTAAAAATGTAGTCTTCTGTTATCGACTTTGTCTGTTAGAGTCATCATAGTCACGATGGGGATGGTTGGGTCTGCCATGAGCGCAGTGGAGGCCTTGCATTGAAACTTGACGTGCCCACCAAGCCGAACTGTCACTTTTAGGGCGTATCGAGCTCGTACGTTTCTGTACTTTCTTTGCGGTTTGATTCGTTTATTCATAATGCTATTCACTAGATGGAACCTCCATGCACCACGAACAATGAACTGATTTTCCCCTTCTCGTGCGATCGATTCCGCTTTTCGGTCGTCACTGAAAAACATTATGGCGTAACGTGGCTCGAACCATCCTGCACAACATTCCCTGACCTAGTACGGGTTTGACCATGTTCTCCGCGAAAAAGCAGAGAGAGCCAACTTTGAAGTGTGCTGTGCTGTGTGAGATGCACCGAGTCCATGGCATTTCAGTCAGGCATAACCTTGGGATAGGCAGTATGAGTCAGGTTAGGCGGCGTGGCGGAGTTTCCAATGACGTGACAAGTCCACCTCGAGGTTACCTCGCAGGCATTGCCAGCAGCAGCCCGGAATATCGTGGAGCATTAGTGGCAAAACAATTGGCATGCTGCCATGTTTTCGGCAGCTCGCCAAGCGAAGCTCGTTAGCCTCGATATTTCCAGTCCCACATGCCACGAGGAATACTCCTTGACAGCGATACGCCCACATAGATGCATGGAAGAATTAGCCGCCGTAGACCGTTGATTTTGAAAGTGCCACGTGTTTTGGAATTAGCGTGTGTCAAAGCTGCATGAGAAGCGCGCAGCGCAAGAACCACATTCTAGGTCCTTTTCCGTCCGTTTTCTTCGTCGTATTACTCAATCGAATATCCTGTACACTCAGCACTGAACGTTCGAGGCTGTAACTACAGCAAACGTTACCGACAGAATAACCTTCGCGAATTTTCCTGAACGAAAGCTACCGTTCAGGCTCCCCACCACCACCACCACCACCACCCCCCCCACCGTCTGCTACCTCCACTAACTAAGATTGGTGGTATAGTCAGAATGCCGTGGTTCGGAGGAAAAAAAGCATCCAAGCCTCCGCCGCCGCCGCCTCCGGACGGACTGCTACAGATCAGCGATCGCGTGTTTGGTGCGTTTTAGGTTTACTTTAGGTTTCAATTCCCGTGAGAATTTGCGTGAGATTTCGCGTGACGGTTGTGAGTCGAGTTCAGTTGCGAGGGTTGTTGGGATGTAAGGTTTTCTGTTCAACGGTCATGATGGAGCGATCCGGATTAGCTCTCGGTCTCCATTTCTTTCCTTTTCCCTTACTTCCCTTTCGCCTCGCGTTCCCTTCCCTTCCCTCTCCGGTTGTTTAACCGCGTATGTACGTATCACCGAGTTATTTTATTTTTTTCCTCCTTGCTTCTGGACTCAACTTCCCTTTTCCAGTTCAAACCACACTCCTCGCCCCCTCCTCCTCTTCCCTCGGACCGTCCTCTTAGGTAGTTCGTGATTTCCCTCAGGCTAGCACACCAGTTATTGATTTCCAGTTGATTCATAAGTCACCCCTGTCCCTGTCTTTTAATAAACTTAAAAAGCACTACGTCCTCTCTCCTCTCTGCCTCCCGTCCGTCTGTCTCTCCCTCCCTCTGCGTCCTCTTTAGCTCCCTCCCTCCCTCCTTTTTTTGCTTCCAGCAGTCTTGTCTCTTCCACCTCCTCATCCCTTAACGTACTCCCGCCTCCTCATTCCCTTGTTTCTTCCCTCCTTTCTCTCCCTCCTCCGGCCTCCCACATCTCGTCCCTCCTCCCACCCTTCCTCCTTCCGTCCCCTGATCTCTCCGCCCTTTCCCTTTGTTCCCTGCTCCCTCCGTCCCCTGCTTCCAATCCCCCCCTCCTCTTCGCCTACCCCCACCCCCCACCCCCCTTCCCCCTTGCTCAGTGTTTGATTCCTGCATTGCCAACGACGTCCCCACCACAGCCACCTACCGCCTCTACTTCCGCCAGATCTGCACAGATCTCCGCAATCAAATCTCTGACGCCTCTATCCTCATTTGCAATTTCCGAGACGGCAGCAGCGGCTCCAGCCGAACACTTTTTGCCGGATCTTATTTTCTAGATTCTGATGCCACCGTTCTTGAATACCCGAGACATTTTGAGGGCTGCCCGATTCTTTCTCTTGATCTGATCGAACATTTTCTTCAGTCCACCAATAGCTGGCTCCAGCAGGAATTCGACCTGCCCGGCCGCAAGCCAGAGCAGGCGAAAAGCTTGTTGGAGGGGGTTGATGGGGGGACACCATCAAAGCAGCAGCAGCAGCAGCAATTAGGGTTGGGTTCACCGGGCGGCAACGGGCGGCGTCGGAAAAACATCGTCCTCTTGCACTGCGAGCGTGGCGGATGGCCTCTCTTGGCGTTTATGATCGCCTCGTTTCTAGTATTCCACAAGGAATGGAACGGCGAGGAGGAGCGAGATCTCTTACTGGGCATCTACAAAGCGGCTCCTAGAGGTTTCCTCCAGCTGCACTACCCCTTAAATCCGGTCCCGTCCCAAGCGAGATATCTTCAGTACATAGCCCACTGCGTCAGCTCTTTACCCCACCAGTTCATAGAGCGGGACAACAAGGATAAGAAGGGGAAGGGGAAGGGGATGGGGATGGGGAAGGGAAAGGAAAAGGAGAGGGAGAGGAGGAGGGCAGCGAGTGGGGGAGCCAGGTGCTGGTACCGTCTTCTAGAGAGGGGTGTCTTGGAGCGAGCAGCAGCCGGATGGTGACTCTAGACTGTGTGATTATGCGCGGTGTGCCACAGCTGGACGCGAGGGGCGGGTGCTGCCCTGTGATTAAGGTATATGGGCGCGATCCTGGCCTGCCGGAGAGCCGAGACTCGGGGCTGCTGTTCCTGAGCGCGAGGCACGGGGTGAACCGAGCCAAGTACTACCTGCAGGTGAGGCACGGATGGACCCACGTGCTAGGGTGTACGCACAGGTGAGGTGAGGCATGGCTTGAAACGAGCAAGGTATTACCTGCAGGTGAGGCACGGATGGACCCAAGGAGTTGAGGTATGGCGTAAACCGAGTCATGTACTACTTGCAGGTGAGGCAGGGATGCTAGCAGTGTTTAATCACAGGTGAGGCAGGGATGAAAGCAGTGTTTAATCACAGGTGAGGCATGGCGTGACGTGAGCCAGGTGGGGATGGAGAGTTGAGTGTGTGCATTGGGTCGATTCACACCTCCCCTGGCCTTCTTTCCCCTTTCTCCCATTTTTGGCACTCAGAGGGAGGCCGAAGTGGTGAAGATGGACGTGATGGCGGTGGTGCAGGGCGACGTGGTGATAGAGTGCGTGCATGTGGACATGGAGGGGGGAGGCAGCGAGCACATGGTGTGGCGAGCGATGTTCAACACAGCCCATGTGCGATCCAACATGCTCGTGCTCTCCCGAGACGACCTCGACATTCTCTGGAACGCACGCGAGCGCTTCACACAGGATTTCAGAGTGGAGGTGAGTTTGTGCCTTTTGAGTCGACTCAAAAGGAGCTTCACACAGGATTTCAGAGTGTAGGAGAGTTTGTGCGCAGCTGTGCGTTCACCTCGTTCGCTTCATTCCCCTCATTTACCTCATTTCTTTCAGCAGAGTGGGGTGGGGCCACTTTTGCGGCGACTTTTGAGGCGCCTCAAAAGTCATTCCCCTCATTTACGGCATTTCTTTCAGCAGACTGGGGCCTTGAGACCTCCCAAAATCCGAGTTCTTCAGATTAGTCAAAGGCGTCACATCCCTGTGGCCCTCTTTCTGTGCTGCCCTTGCCCCACCCGCCCTCTCCAGATCCTTCTGAGAGACCCCGAGTCTAAGGTACCACCTCCCCCAGCTGCCACCTCTCTGGCTAAAGACGCCTTTTTCTGACCCACGTTCTGTGTTGCCCTTTCCCAACCCACCCACCCTCCAGATCCTTCTGAGAGACCGCGAGTCCAAGGTACCGCCTCCCCCGGCTGCCACCTCCCTGGCTAAAGACGCCTTTTTCTGACCCACGTTCTGTGCTGCCCTTTCCCAACCCACCCACCCTCCAGATCCTTCTGACAGACCGCGAGTCCAAGGTACCGCCTCCCCCGGCTGCCACCTCCCTGGCTAAAGACGCCTTTTTCTGACCCACGTTCTGTGCTGCCCTTTCCCAACCCACCCACCCTCCAGATCCTTCTGACAGACCGCGAGTCCAAGGTACCGCCTCCCCCGGCTGCCACCTCCCTGGCTAAAGACGCCTTTTGTGACCCACGTTCTGTGCTGCCCTTTCCCAACCCGCCCTCCCTCCAGATCCTTCTGACAGACCGCGAGTCCAAGGTACCGCCTCCCCCAGCTGCCACCTCCCTGGCTGCAGACGACTATGGCGGTCTACCCCTGGACTCCTTCCTGAAGCTCAAGGAGGCCTTTGAGGACTCTGCCTGGTCGCAGGACGACAGCTCGCGCGCCCTAGAAGAGATCCGCCACACCATCTACGCCGCAGCCAGCACCAAGAGACGAAACCGCCGCAGCGGAGGCTCGGGAAGCAGAGGGTTGCGGGTTCGAACACGGGTGCCGGCGGGTGGGAAGTGGGGCCCGGGAGGGGCGGGGTTTGCAGGGGATATGCTAGATGATAGTGACTATGCATCGGATTTAGACTCGGCTGATACTTCCCCGACGTTTTCGAGTATGTTACAGTCTAGGGATGGGAGCCCGTCGCCGGCTCGGCCGTTTGGGAGTGGTTTAGGGTTTGGGATGTTTGGGTTTCCGGGCGGCAAGGTGAGGAGGAAGGTGGGATCGGAGTGTGTGTTGCCGCCGGGTTGCTGTTTGCGGAGCAGACTTATACGGAGGAGGAGGGGTTGACGAGGAGAGAGAGGGCGAGTGCGGGTGATTTGAAGATGCTTTGGCTGGATTTGGCGAATGGGCCGTCGTTGTTTTGGAATGAGTGGGATCCGGAGCTGAATCCAGTTCTGGGGAAGCTTTTAAGGAGGATGTCGAAGCGAGTGCCGGGGTTTAAGTTGCCCGAGATGGGGTTGCTGGGGCAGAAGGGGTTGGAGAAGGGGGAGGAGGAAAAGAAGGAAGAGGAGAAGGAGGAGAAGAAGGAAGAGAAGAGGAGGAGAAGAAGAGGAGAAGAAGGAAGAGAAGGAGGAGGAGAAAAAGGAGGAGAAGAAGGAGGAGGAGAAGGAAGAGGAGGATGAGGAAGAAAAGGCGGCTGCTGCAGCAGCTGCTGCTGCTGAGGCTGCAGCAGAGAGGAAAAAACAGGAGAAGCTGAGAAAGGCTGAAGAGAGGCGGAGGAGGCTGAGAGGAGGAGGTTGGAGGAAGAGGAAGAGGAGAGGAGGGAGGAGAGAGGTTGGAGGGAGGAGCAGAAGAGGAGGCAGGAGGAGAGGGCAGCTAGAAAGGCAGCGCTAGCCGCAAAGATGGCAGAGCCAGACCCCCTAGTCCCAAAGTAGCCCCCCCGCCCCCACCTCCTCCCCCCGGAGGGGGACCTCCCCCGCCTCCTCCGCCCCCCCCCCCCACCCCCCTCCCCAGGCGGGGCCCTCCCCCTCCTCCCCCACCCCCTCCCCCCCCCTTCCCCCAGGTGCGGGTCCTCCCCCGCCTCCTCCCCCACCCCCTCCCCCACCCCTTCCCCCAGGTGCGGGTCCTCCCCCGCCTCCTCCCCCACCCCCTCCCCCACCCCCTCCCCCAGGTGGGGTCCTCCCCCGCCCCCTCCCCCGCCTCCTCCCCCGCCTCCTCCTCCAGGCGGGGCCCCTCCTCCTCCTCCCCCTCCCCCTCTTCCGCCAGGGGGACGGGCCCCCCCCTCCTCCCGCCTCCTCCCCCGCCTCCCCCAGGTGGGGGCCCTCCCCCTCCTCCTCCTCCACCTCCTCCCCCAGGTGGGGGACCTCCCCCTCCCCCTCCACCTCCCCCTCCCCCGGGCGGGGGCCCTCCCCCACCTCCGCCCCCACCTCCTCCCCCAGGTGGTGGCCCTCCCCCTCCTCCCCCCCCACCCCCTCCCCCAGGTGGGGGCCCTCCCCCGCCTCCCCCTCCCCCTGGCGGGCCCAGAGGACCTCCCCCTCCCCCTCCCCCTCCTGGCGGGCCCAGAGGTCCCCCACCCCCTCCCCTCCCCCTGGGGGGGGAAGGGTCCCCCCCCGCCCCCCCCTCCCCCAGGGGGCAAGGGCGGACCACCTCCTCCTCCCCCGCCCCCAGGGGGAAAAGGCCCTCCAGGCCCTCCCCCTCCCCCGGGTTCAAGGGGAAAGGTCCCCCTCCGCCCCTGGGTTCAAGGGGCCCCCTCCCCCCGGGTTCAAGGGGGGGTTTGCGCCTGCTGCGCCCCCCCCTAAGAAGAAAACCCCCCTGAAGGCGTTTTTCTGGGGGAAGGTGACGCGCGTGGTGGAGGGGAACATGTGGGCGGAGGTGCAGAAAGAAGAGCAGGTGGCTGCTACCCCCAGGTGCATACCTCTCTCCTCCTCTTTCCTCCCTCGCTTCTTCCTCCTCTTTATTCACTCGTCTCATCCGTTCTCCTCCCCCCCGTTTCCCCCCCTTCTCCCCTTCCACTCCTCCTTGTTGAAGTGATGCTTCAGTTCTTTTCCAAGATGACCTTTGTGTAGTTTGCTTGTGAGCTTAACCGCATTGCACCGTAACTCACTGCGCCATACCGTGCTGCACCATACCGCACTGCATCTTACCGCATTGTACCTTATCATGCTTCTGTAACACTTCATGACTAGCTCAGCTCTGGCACCTTGTTCCGCCCTCAGCTCTCATCAACCCCACGCATTTTTCTGCATCTGGGCGGTCTCCTTTGTCTGCATGTGGGCGGCGTTCTTTGTCTGAATGTGGTGCAGGTTGGACCTGGAGGCGCTATACCCGGAGCTGGAGGATTTGTTCTCTGCCGCCCCTCCCCCCAAGAAAAAAGACACCGGGCCCAAGAAGGAGGCCAAGCCTCAAGCCCTCACTCTTGTAAGTTGCCTCTTTCAGAATTTTCTTACAAGTGGACATACCCTCCCCCTGCACCCAAGAAGAAAGAAACTGGCCCCAAGAAGGAGATCAAGCCACAATCCCTCAGTCTTGTAAGCTTCCCCGTGCCTCCTTGTGTTGTGCCTCCTTGTGTTGTGCCTCTTGCCTTGAAAGCACCCCATTAGCTCCTCTGCGCCTCTGCGATCTTCTTTCGAGTCGTCTCAAATGTCTTTCATGCCTTCTTTATTATTTTTATTTTTATTTTGTTGGAAGGCGGGGGGGGGGGGGGGGGGGGGGGGAGTGTTCCAGCCGTCTCATTATGTTTGATTCCTTGTCCTTTCATTTGTGTCTCAGATCGACAATCCCTGCCAACAGTTGTTTCTTTCAAGCCGACTCAATATGTTCTCCCTGATTCCCTTCTCGTTTTCTGGCGTGGTTCAGATTGATATGAAGCGCGCCAACAATTGCATGATTATGCTCTCCAATATGAAGCACCTCAAGTACCCTGAGATTGTGGTGAGTTGGAGTGCAATATGGAGTTGTCTAGAGGGGCTTTAACGAATTCCAGCAAGATGGGCTTCTAAGATTATGCTTTCCAACATGAAGCATCTCAATTTCTCCCAGCCAGATTGTGGTGGTTTGGTTTGAATAGCAAGCTCAGACTGTGTTTCCGCTCTGCCACGCCCCTCCGCCGCAGGACGCCATTCTAGCGCTGGACAGCAAGGTGCTGGATGCAGAGAAGGTGGATGCTCTGCTTAAGTTCTGCCCCACCAAGGAAGAAGGGGAGATGATCAAGGTGCGATGCTCTAGGCTTGTTTGTTTGTTTGTTTGTTTGTACCGCGGCGGTGAATGTGATGTGAGCTCGATGGGTGACGCCAGCTGGTTGCTGTGAGTTGGTTGCGGCTAGGTGCTTCAGTCGACATACAAGGTCCACTGGAGCTTGAGGGCATGTGGGGCATGGGGCCATGGGGGCATGGGGCCATGGGGTCATGGGGGCATGGGGCCATGGGGGCATGTGGGGCATGGGGGCATGGGGGCATGTGGGGCATGGGGGCATGGGGCCATGGGGGCATGGGGGCATGGGGGCATGGGGGCATGTGGGGCATGGGGGCATGGGGGCATGGGGGCATGGGGCCATGGGGCCATGGGGCCATGGGGCCATGGGGGCATGTGGGGCATGGGGGCATGGGGCCATGGGGCCATAGGGCATGTGGGGCATGGGGGCATGGGGGCATGGGGGCTCATGAGGGCATGGAGATGTGGGCATGGAGATGTGGGCATGGAGGTGTGGGCATGGAGGTGTGGGCATGGAGGTGGTGTGGGCATGGAGGTGGTGTGGGCATGGAGGTGGTGTGGGCATGGAGGTGTGGGCATGGAGGTGTGGGCATGGAGGAAGTAATCTGCCTCTTTCCGCTCCCCCCTTCCCTTTTCCCTCTTTTATCCCCTCCTATCCCTCCATTTCTCCCCTCCTTTTATCCCCTGCTATCCCTCCAGTTCTCTCCGTACAGGGCTGTGGCATGCCCCCAGAGTATGTTTTTTGAGAATTCTAAAAAAAAACATGCCGCCAGGCAAGCTGGGCAACTGCAACCCCAGTCCTTTCTGGCGATGATGCGAGCCGAGCCCCATAGTCTGCCTCTCCGTCCTCTCTCGCTTCTTGTTTTGTTTTGAGTCGACGCAAATAACTGGGCAACTGCGAGCTGTTTTTCCTGGGGATGCTGCGAGCGCCATAGTCTGCCTCTCCTTCCTCTCTCCCCTTCTCTTATCCCCCTCCTATCCCCTCCTCCTATTCCATCCTCGCCTCGCAGGGCTGCGGCATGCCTTCAGAGAAGCTGGGCAAGTGCGAGCAGTTCCTCCTGGAGATGCCGCGAGCGCCATAATTCCCCTCCTTCCCCCCCACTTCCCTTCCATTTACCCTCAATTATCCCCGCATGCCCTCTCCGCTTGCTTATCCCATGCTATCCCATTCTCTCCCCACCCCGCAGGGCTGCGGCATGCCTCCACCAGACAAGCTGGGCAAGTGCCAGCAGTTCTTCCTGGAGATGTTGTGTGCGGCTTGGCTTGCTCAGCCCCCTGCTTACTCTCTCTTTCCTTTTGATCTCTCCAATCCCCACATCATCTCACATCCTCGCAGGGCTGCGGCATGCCTGCAGACAAGCTGGGCAAGTGCGAGCAGTTCTTTGGAGATGCTGCGTGTGGCTTGCTGTGCCCCTTCTTCCTCTCTCCTTCCCTTCACCTTCTCCTATCCCCACTATCCTCTCACATCCTCACCTCGCCTCGCAGGGCTGCGGCATGCCGCCAGACAAGCTGGGCAAGTGCGAGCAGTTCTTTTTAGAGATGCTGCGAGCACCGCGTATCGAAGCCAAGCTGCGGATCTTTGAGTTCAAGCTGTCGTACGACCAGCAGGTGAGGGGAGGGTGAGGGCCATGCCATGCCATGCCATGCGATGCCGTGCATGTGGCCAGTTGTGCATCGACGCCAAGCTGCACATCTTTGAGTTCAAGCCGTCGTACGACCAGCAGGAAAGGGCAGGCCCAGCACGCGTGAGCGTGAGGGCCATGCCATTTGTGGTGGGTGGGCTGTTGTGGTGCAGCCAGCAGCAGGTGCGTGGAGTGGAGAGTAGGTGATAAGAGGGCAAGGTTTGACTGCCCATTTTTGAGACGTCTCAAAAAAGCAGCCAGCAGCAGGTGCGTGGAGGGGAGGGTAGGTGGTGGGGGGTGCAAGGTTTGACTGCCCATCACTTACCCTCCACGCACCTGCAGCTGAAGACCCAGGTTGGGCAAGTCCAACCTTGCCCAGCCAGCAGCAGGTGCGTGTAGGGTTGGACTGGGTCTATTCAGGGTCGCCTGTTTGAGGTTGAGCTGTCATTTGACCATCACGTGAGTGCCGTCCATCCCATGTGTGCAGCAATCTTAGGCGATAAAAAACCCGGGGATTTCAATGTACCCCCAAATTGCCTCGTCACACGCGGATTCCAATGTCCCCTTCCCTACCCGCCTGCCCACCTGCAGGTCAAGGACGTGCAACGCAATCTGGACCTCGTGCATAATGCCTGTAAGGAGGTGAGTGTTACTGTAAGGAGGTGAGTGTTACTTTAAGGAGGTGAGTGTTACTGTAAGGAGGTGAGTGTTACTGTAAGGAGATAAGGTGCGTGCTTTCCTGCACTGCATATGTGTTTTGATACCCAACGCAACGCAACGCAACGGTTTTCTCGCAACGCATTTGTGTGCACCTTGCTTGCGTAGAGTTCCTCTGCTCTTCCCTCGCTTCCCTTCCCTTGCTTCTCTTGCGTCGCTTCCTTCGCTTCCCCCTCTTCCCTCGCTTTTCTCGCTTCCTCCTCTTCTCTCGCTTCCCCTGTTCCCCATCCTCCCTCTCTGCCCTCTCCCCTCCTCTCCCTCGCATGCCATCGTCAGGTGCGGGAGTCCAAGAGGCTGAGGCGCATAATGCAGACCATCCTGTCGCTGGGGAACGCGCTCAACCAGGGCACTGCTAGGGGTTCCGCTGTGGGCTTTAAGCTGGACAGTCTGCTGAAGCTCACGGACACCAAGACGCGCAACAACAAGATGACCCTCATGCACTACCTCGCCAAGGTGGGTGGGTGCTGTGCAGTGAAGCTGGGTGCTGAGGGGTTAAGGTTGGTGCTAGGAGACAAGAGGGCTCTGCTGTGGGGTTCAACCTAGACAGTCTTCTGAAGCTAACGGACACCAAGACACGCAACAACAAGATGACCCTCATGCACTACTTGGCGAAGGTAAGTGGGTGCTATACGGTGAAGCTGGATGCAGAGGGGTTAAGGTGGATGCTAAGAGACGAGAGGGCTCTGCTGTGGGCTTTAAGCTGGACAGTCTTCTCAAGCTCACAGACACCAAGACGCGCAACAACAAGATGACCCTATGCTACCTCGCCAAGGTGGGTGGTGAGGAGTGTAATTGGGTGCTGTGCGGTGAAGCTGGGTGTTGAGGGGTCAAGGTGGGTGCACTTGTGTTGCTGAGGTTAATTCTTGAGTAGAGTGCAGTGGGTTTGCTTGCTTTCAAGCTGAACAGTCTTCTTAAGCTCATGGATACCAAGACGCGCAACAACAAGATGACCCTCATGCACTACCTCGCCAAGGTGGGTGCTGTTGAGGGATGGGTGCTGTGCGGTGAAGCTCCGTGCTAAGGGGTCAAGGTGGGTGGTGCTGAAGCTCATGGATACCAACACGCACAACAACAAGATGACCCTCATGCACTACCTCGTCAAGGTGGGTGGGTGGTTGCTATTGCGTTGTGTACCCACCCAACTGCAAATATTTCTTCTACTGTTTATGTTTCACAATCTATTCTCCCTCTCTGTTTCTCTGTTTGTTTTGTTTTGTTTTGTTTTGTTTCACAATCTATTCTCCCTTCCGTGGTGCTCATGGAAGGTCTTCCCGAGCTTGCCTTTTTTCCCTCCTTTACTCACCTGCAGGTTTCTTTGGATTTTGATTTTGATTTTGATGTTTTTTTTTTTTTTTTTTTTTTTTTTTTTTTTTTTTTTTTTTTTTTTTTTTTTTTTTTTTTTTTTTTTTTTTTTTTTTTGTAACAGTAGTTCTTCCCGAGCTTGCCTTTTTTCCCTCCTTTACTCACCTGCAGGTTTCTTTTGATTTTGATTTTGATTTTGATTTTTTTTTTTTTTTTTTTTTTTTTTTTTTTGTTGTAATAGTAGTTCTTCCCGAGCTTGCCTTTTTTCCCTCCTTTACTCACCTGCAGGTTTCTTTTGATTTTGATTTTGATTTTGATTTTTTTTTTTTTTTTTTAACAGTAGTTCTCCCCGAGCTTGCCTTATTCTCTCCTTTACTCACCTGCATGCCTTCAACCCGTCTTTTTCCCCCCTCTCTCCTCCCCTCCACTCAGGTGCTCAATTAAAAGCTCCCTGAGCTCGCCTTGTTCTGGGAGGAGCTGCGTGCAGTAAACCTGAGTGGCCCGCCTCCACTCCTCCCATCCGCCCGTCCTTCAGGTGCTCACGGAGAAGCTCCCTGAGCTCGCCTTGTTCTGGGAGGAGCTGCCGTCCCTTGAAGATGCCCACAAGGTGCGCTTGTATCTGAACCTGTTCGTAAGGTGTCTTCCGAAGCTGCCCACAAGGTGTGTTTCCCGAGCCTGTGGTCAGGGAACCTGCCCTCTCATGTTGCGCCTTTGTCTTCTTGTAACATGTAGTTATTGGACTGTGCAGTGTGCTGCATTCTTCTTTGTGCGTTCCTCTAGACCCTCCCATCCCCAACCCCCCCAAGATCAGATCCAAGTGAAGCAGCTGGACGCGGGTTTGCATGCAGCAGCTGAACAGCGCAGAGGCACCACCAAGCTGGACAGTAACCCTTTCTTTTCCCCCTCAACCCCTGCTCCCTCCCACCACCTCTCCGCCCATACATTCTACTCCTACATTTCCATTCAGATCCAAGTGAAGCAGCTGGACGCGGGTTTGCATGCAGCAGCTGAACAGCGCAGAGGCACCACCAAGCTGGACAGTAACCCTTTCTTTTCCCCCTCAACCCCTGCTCCCTCCCACCACCTCTCCGCCCATACATTCTACTCCTACATTTCCATTCAGATCCAAGTGAAGCAGCTGGACGCGGGTATGCATGCAGCAGCTCAACTTTTGAGGCGCCTCAAAGGACCTGCAGCAGCAGCTCAACTTTGAGGCGCCTCAAAGGACATGCATGCAGCGGCAGCTCAGCAGTGCAGAGGTTCCCCAAGCTGGAGCGTGCCATGTGCCATGTGCCATGTGCCATGTGCCCCATCCTCTCCGTTGCGTTCCTCCCGTGACCCTTCCCCCCCCCCCCCCCCTCCCCTCCTTCCTGCTCAGATCCAAGTGAAGCAACTGGGGGAAGAGATGCAGCAGCTGAACAGCGGCACCACCAAGCTGGAGCATTGATCCCCTCTCTCCCTGGTTGGTCCCCCTCTTTCCTCCACCCCGCCGCACCCACACGATGCCCACCCGCTCAGATCCAAGTGAAGCAACTGGGGGAAGAGATGCAGCAGCTGAACAGCGGCACCACCAAGCTGGAGCGCGAAATGGTGGCATCGGAGAAGGACGGGCCTGTCTCTGAGAACTTCAGAAAGGTGGGTGGGTGGGGCGGGGTTACTTCAGAGGTTGGGGGGGCTGGGCGGGAGTAGATGAAATGGTGGCATCGGAGAAGGACGGGCCTGTCTCTCTGAGAACTTCAGAAAGGTGAGGGGAAGGGGATCAGGTGGGGCCTTGTGGGGGAATAGAAGAAGTGGTGGTGGGGTGGGCAGACGTACATGCTTGCCAAGGTTGTCAAGGTTCCCACTCTACTCATCCATTTGTGACCCCCCTCCCTCCTCTCTTTCGCCCTCCCATCCACCACAGGCGCTGAAAGAGTTTGCAGAGGAGGCCACAAGTGGAGCCAAGAAGCTGGCTGCTCTCTATGCTGACGTGGTGGGTTGACTTCCTTGACTGCCTTGACTGGGCTGTCTGGGCTTTACAGCTTTGACTGCATTGACTTGCATACCTGGGTTGGCTGGGTTGACTTCTTTGACTGCCTTGACTTCCTGTCGTGGTGTGGCTCTCCTTTGACTGGGCGCTGACTGGCTGTAGCGTGTGAATGATGGAAGAGGTGTTTTGGAGCCTCGAACTGTCATGTGCAACACGCACACACATGCGCACACACACACCCACACACAGACACGCAGTTGTTTTCTTGGACTCAGCTTATGGTCGTTTTGCATTGCAATTCTTGTCATTGCTGACACTTCCGTTGTGCTAACATTACAGGATGTTGGATATCTGTGATGTGATGGCATATGGTGTGGTGCCGTGTGGTGTGGTGCCGTGTGGTGTGGTGTGGTGTGGTATGGTGTGTCTATGCCACTGGTTGTTGTGTATTATGGGCTATGATTATGGTGGGGTGGGGTGGGGTGTCACATAACACATTCGGGATTTGTTGCATTGCTGCTTGGTCTGTGCTGCATGGTGCTGCATGGTGCTGCATGGCTGTATCTGCATGGTGCTGCGTGATGTTGTATGGTGGTGTGTGGGCTGCATGGTGCTGCACGGTATTCCAGTCTAAGGCCACAGATGGGCTCTCGAGATATTTTGGAGAAGACCCAAACAAGTGCCCCTTCGAACAAGGTGAGGGCTTTTACCCCTCTCTCCTCCCTGCTCCCTCCTCCCTCTCCCCTCCTCCCTCCTCCCTCACAGCCTCCCTCTCCTCCCTCTCCTCCCTGGCAGCCTTTTACCTCACAGCCTCCTCTCTCACAGCCTCCCTTTCCTCCCTCTCTCTTGCCAACGTATGAAGTGATTGCCTACTGTTGTGTGCAAGCCTCCCTTTCCTCCCTCTCCCTTGCAATCTAACAGCTCCCCACACAACTTTCCCTTAGATTGCGCGGTTGCCACTGTGCTGCACATTATCATGCAGCTTTTCTGAGGCGTCTCAAAAATCACCTCAATGCATGCGGATTCCCCCTTGGTTGCACAGTTGCCACTGTGCTGCACATTATTGTGCAGCATTTCAAAAAGGCTCAAGACGAGAACTTGAAGAGCAGTGATCGATTCACCTTTCCCATTTCCCGCCATTGCCCACTCCCCTTTTCCCTGCCTCAGTTGCCACCGCGCTGCACAATTCTGTACAGTCTCTCAAAAAATATCAAGACAAGAATGTATCATGCAACCTTTATGTCTCCCATCCATACATCCCTCCCTCCCCCCTCCCCGATCAATCCCAGTTGCCACCGTGCTGCACAATTTCGTGCAGTCTTTCAAAAAGTCTCAAGACGAGAACATCAAGAATGCTGAAGCAGAGATAAAGCGGATTGAGAAGGAGAAGAAAAAGGAGGCTGAGGAGAAAAAGAAGAAGGAACTGGAGGAGAAGAAAGCAGCTGAAAGGGCTGCGAAAGCAGAAAAGGAGAAAGCAGCACAGGAGGCGAAAGCAGCAAAGGAAAAGGAGGGAGGAGGGGGGGAGGGAGCGGAGGGGGGAGGGGATGAGAAGAAGGATGAGGAGAAGGAAGGAGAGGGGAAGAAGGAGGAGGGGAAGGAGGAGGGGAAAAAGGGGCCGGTTAACATGCTTGCTGCTATTAAGAAGCGTCACGTGGCGAATGATGACGATGATGATGATAAGAAGGACGAGAAGAAGGATGAGAAAAAGGATGAGAAGAAGGATGAGAAGAAGGATGAGAAAAAGGATGAGAAGAAGGATGAGAAGAAGAGTGGTGAAGGGAAGGAGGGAGCGAAGGAGGGAGCTATGGAAGGGGGGAAGGAGGAGGCAGGGAAGGAATCGGAGGTGAGTGAGGAGGATTCGAGTAGTGATGACGATGATAGTGAGAGTGAGAGTGAAGAGGAGGAGGGGGCAGGAGACAAGCCGGCAGAAGGGGCAGCAGCGGCAGCAGGGGCAGCGGCAGCAGGTGGTGCAAAGGAGGGAGGAGCAGCAGCAGCGGCGGCAGGAGAGGAAGGGGCGAAGGAGGGGGGGAAGAAAAAGGTGGTAAAGAAAGTAGTGAAGAAAGTAGTTAAGAAAAAGAAAGCTGCGGAAGGGGAGGGGGCGGCTGAAGGGGAGGCGGGTGAGGGGAAGAAAAAGAAAGTTGTGAAGAAAAAAGTGGTGAAGAAAAAGGATGGGGCTGCTGGGGAGGGTGCGGATGGGGCGGAGGGAGGTGGGGAAAAGAAGACTGTTAAGAAGAAAGTTGTCAAGAAAAAGGCTGCGGCCGATGCGACTGCTTGAGTGGGCGTTCAGTGAAGAGGAGCTGCAGCATGTTTTGACAAACCTAGATGGGACAGAGGGAGGCGGGGAGGCAGAGGAAGAAAGTTGTCAGGGAAAACATCCGCAGCAGAGGCGTCGGCTTGAGTGGGCATATCAGCAGCTGCAGCAGCCGCAGCGGCAGGAAAGGGGAGGGAGCAGCAGCAGCAGCGGCAGCAGCAACAGCATCAGAGGCACCACTTAGCTGCCTGCAGCAGTAAGCAGAGAAGCTATTAATAGTTACGGTCGTTTAGAAGGTTTGGTCGAGTAAGCAGCAAAACTTTGGGAGCTCTCAAGTGGTGGCTGCGATGCTGTTTGAAGTGACCTTGGCAATGGGTCAGAAGAGGGGCGTCAAGTCAACCCGCTCGCGCAGGTCAATGAGGGGCAGTGAGTCAGGTCAATCCACTCGCACAAATTTGCCAGCGAGAAAAGCTGTTGCTGGGTGATGGATAGCCTTACTACCGGGAGTGGCTGATTGTAGCAATAGTGCCGGCTGGGGCTGATGTTACCTGTATCCTGTGTAGGCTGGCACGGCTATGAATTTTCCCAAACATGGATTGAGGTGTAGATGTGAGATCTGTAGGTGGCAGGTGTAGGGGCGACTGAGGGGACTGAGGGCATCTGACGCGGGAGCTGATAGAGGTGACTGATACTGATGAGTCAATGCCAGAGAACACCACTACGAGGGTTCTGTTCTGTTGCTGAAGCGGCTGTTTGAAGCAGTTGCAGCAGCAGGAGATGCATGGGGAAGGCTTGCATCAGCTCGTGCTCAGAATGCGTCAGCTCGTGCTCAGAATGCGTCAGCTCGTGCTCAGAATGCGTCAGCTTGTGCTCAGAATGCGTCAGCTCGTGCTTAGAATGCGTCAGCTCGTGGTTAGAATCCATCAGCACGTGCTCAGAATGTGTCAGCATGCGCTTGGCATGTGTCAGCATGCGCTTGGCATGTGTCAGCATGCGCTTGGCATGTGCTCGGCATGTGGCAGCATGTGCTCACACACACGCCTGGTGAGTCTGAGTTGCCAGCAACTTCCACCTCGCTCCCTCTTACTCTCCCTCTGTCCCTCACATCGTCCTTCCTCTCCTGCCTGTCCCTGGGCTCTTCATTTTAGCAACTGGGGGATTCTTTTATGTCATGGAGGCTACTAGTCCCTATAGGCATTACTGCAGGAGTCATCACGCTTCCTCTTTTTCCCCAACCCCTTCCCCATTCTTCTCCTGTTCCTCTTCCGTTTCTCCCTCCCATCCCCTCACGCAATGCTTTCCCTCCTGTTGGAATGCAGTCACAGCTCAGCAAACGAGCCCGACCTCTATTGTATATACCGTAGGTGGGTGGACTTATAATGTATATTTCTTTAATGTACCAGATACGGTAATGACATCGTATACGTGATTGTGGGTGGTGTCGGGCCAGTGCTTGGCAAAATGACATTCCCACAGCTGAGCTACCTCCACTAGGCATTTGAACTCCGAAGTCGTTCCTGAATGTAATGTTCCTGTGTTTTGGAACAGAACAGGCTTGGTAAATGTGGATTATACAGTTGCAATTGCACTGTAGCATTGCACAGTAGGTGATATATAGGTGTTCCAGCCTTCACCACAGCAATCCTATTTTCTTGAAGAAGTTGCTTTAATAACCTTTGCAGCCACGGTCAGCTTTGCGGTTGCAACCGAGCATCCGTAACGAATCACTCGTTAACTATTCTCTTACTGCATTCTTGCACAGAAACACAGCAGCACAGCGCCACCCATCACATTACTCCCATAGTGAAGCTTCTGGCTACATTGTCTAGTCTGCTCCAGTCTCATCTGGTCCGGAGAAGACCAATTTCTGTCCATAGAGTCGTAAGCGTATATCTAACACTTGAGCTGGTTTTAGTGCTGCTGCTTGTGGCTGAAACTGAGCTTGCAGCAGCGCAGCACCAGCAGCTCTCATGGTAGGGTGCAGTGACTCCCACGAGTGAGCTGACTGCCGCATGATGCGAACCTGGACGGCCTTTAAGTCTTAACACATCCAGTTGATATCTAGGCTGCTTGCTGTGCTGGTGCTTGTGGCTGTGACTGCTGCAGGGCAGCACCAGCAGACCTGATAGCAGGTTGCAGTGACTCCCACGAGTGAGCTGACTGCCGCATGATGCGAACCTGCACAGCCCGGAAGTCCCGGAACATGCGGTCAAAATCCGCTGCCATCTCCACATGGCAGCGCTGCAGCTCGCCAGCTAGGCGCTGCACCACGTCAGCGTGCTCCTTCTTCGCATCTTCCAGCTTGCGACTCACCTGGAGATAAGAGAATAGTTGGAAAACCGAATCCACACTCGACGTGAGGGATTGACACATGCACGCATGAACACACACATGCACAAAGACACACACACAGAAACACTTACCGTACACACGCATGCATACATGCATGCATGCCGCATACACCGCACGCTTGCATGAACACAATGGCATGCATGTATACACACGTACATCCCGGACAGGGCGGTCGTCGGACAAAGCTACGAATATCCCCACAACGCCCCAACTGCACTCACATCCACCATCGCCTTCTCGATTTCCTCGAGTTGGTTTTTGAGAATTCTCAAAAACCAACTGCACTCACATCCACGATCTCCTTCTCGATTTCCTCGATCTTCTCCTGCTTCATCGACGTTGCTTGAGCTCTATGCCTGCGTGCAGGGAGAACAGGCAACAGCTATAAGAATTTCAAATCGACTTAACAAGAGGGGAAAAAAAAAGGAGAGAGAGGGGGAGAGTGCGGCCTTGCAGCCTCCTCTCATCGACTGGGCCATGCAATCGTCTCTTAGCTGTAACCCCTTCACACCCACACCTTCTTCTCCACGCTCACAAATTCCCCTATCGCACTCACAAATTCCCCTCTCGCACTCACAGCTGCCCTCTCGCACTCACAGCTGCCCTCTCGCACTCACAGCTGCCCTCTCGCACTCACAGCTTGCCCTATCGCACTCACAGCTTGCCCTTCTTCGCCTTGAGATCTGCCTCTAGCTGGTTCAGATTGCGCCATGCAAGGGAACGGTCTGAAATGGCCTTCTGCAGGGGGGGGGGGGGGAGATGGGGAGATGGGGGGATGGGGATTTGAGGCCAGATTACGGATACAGTGCTTTGCCCGTGCAACTGAAAGATGACAGGGAAACACATGCTTGTGCATTTGTGCACCGGTCCGTGCACTGCTTTGGGGCCAGGAACTACGGCAGCAAGATCACCTCAGAAATGATTAGGCTGCACTGACCTTCAATGACGAAACGAATCGGACATACTCCTTAAGAGGTTCTTCAAGGTTCTCTAGAAACACTTGTGCCTGCACACACGAAAATATTTCAAAGCAATACAGAGGGAATCACTTGTGGCTGTCGTTGACAGCTCCTACCCAGAAGGACAGTCAATGTTGCAATTTGTCTAAAAACGTTGGCTGGCCTTTGAACGCCAGCCACTGTTGCAATTTGTCTGTTGGTCCTGCCAGCCGACATTTGAAGTCAACAAAAAAAATCCCTAGTTAGCTGTGCAATATCCCTATGTACAAACAATGCACAACATGAGACACGCCGGCCATCACAGCAGCAGCAACGCCAGTCACTCACGTTGTTCCTCGTTGCAGAGCCAACAATGTCCGTGTATGTATGTATGTATGTATGTATGTATGTATGTATGTATGTATGTATGTATGTATGTATGTATGTATGTATGTATGTATGTATGTATGTATGTATGTATGTATGTATGTATGTATGTATGTATGTATGTATGTATGTATGTATGTATGTATGTATGTATGTATGTATGTATGTATGTATGTATGTATGTATGTATGCATGTATGCATGTATGTATGTACGTATGTAAGTATGTACGCGTGTGTGCGTGTGTGTGTGTGTGTGTGTGTGTGTGTGTGTGTGTGTGTGTGTGTGTGTGTGTGTGTGTGTGTGTGTGTCTGTGTCTGTGTCTGTATGTCTGTCTGTGTGTGTGTGTGTGTGTACGTACATACGTACGTACGTAGGTTACAGTGCCATGCCTAACAAGGAAACTGCCATTCATGTCATGCGTAACAGTACACCACCGACACTACCACTCACTCACGTTCCGTGTGGCAGAGCCAACAATGTCCGTGTATGTATATATATATGTATGTATGTATGTTACAGTGCCATGCACAACACAGAAACTGCCATTCGTGTCATGCGTAACAGGAGCACCACAACACTACCACTCACTCACGTTGTTCCGTGTGGCAGAGCCAACAATATCCGCCTTATTGCCAACCTCCCTAAAGCACTTCCCCAGGGGCCCCTCCTCCCACTGCCCCAGAGACTGCAGCGTCTTTCCAAACTCGCACATGGACGCTCCCAGCTCTGCGCACATATGGTGGAGAAGGAAGGGGAGGTGGGGGGAGAGGGGACGGGATGGGGATTAGAAAGAGGAAGGGCCCCTCCTCCAACTGCCCCAGGGACTGCAGCGCCACTCCAAACTCGCACATGGACGCCCCTAGCTCTGCAGCATTGGTTTATGGTGGGAGGTGGTGCGAGAACGACTGAAGGGGAAAGGAACAAGAAAAAGCGGGAGTGTGTTGTTTCCACAGCTCAGAAACACAGTCACGTGATAGAGGTTGATATTTGAGCCGTCTCAAAGATTTCCGCAGATCAGGAACACTGCCGCTCCAAACTCACACATGGATGGCCCCAGCTCTATATGTTTTTTGAGAACTCTCAAAAAGCACATGTGGCGGTGGTGGGGTAAGGGCGATTCTTAATTTTCCCACCCTGCTGCCCCTTCTGTCCCCTCCCCACTCCTCAAATTCACTTCACTCCCACACCCACCTCATTGCTTCTTCACTCCCACACCCACCTCATTGTTTCTTCACGAAATGCAGCGTGTGTGTCCCGATGGCAGTCCGAAAGGGCCTTCTCCAGGGCGTCAGTGTACCGCCTCACCCGCTCCATCATCTCCGCCTCATCACTTGCCCAATCCTTGCTTCACCCCTCGTACCCACTCACCTCTCCGCTACACTCACCTCTCCGCTACACTCACCTCTCCGCTACACTCACCTCTCCGCTACACTCACCTCTCCGCTACACTCACCTCTCCGCTACACTCACCTCTCCGCTACACTCACCTCTCCGCTACACTCACCTCTCCGCTACACTCACCTCTCCGCTACACTCACCTCTCCGCTACACTCACCTCTCCGCTACACTCACCTCTCCGCTACACTCACCTCTCCGCTACACTCACCTCTCCGCTACACTCACCTCTCCGCTACACTCACCTCTCCGCTACACTCACCTCTCCGCTACACTCACCTCTCCGCTACACTCACCTCTCCGCTACACTCACCTCTCCGCTACACTCACCTCTCCGCTACACTCACCTCTCCGCTACACTCACCTCTCCGCTACACTCACCTCTCCGCTACACTCACCTCTCCGCTACACTCACCTCTCCGCTACACTCACCTCTCCGCTACACTCACCTCTCCGCTACACTCACCTCTCCGCTACACTCACCTCTCCGCTACACTCACCTCTCCGCTACACTCACCTCTCCGCTACACTCACCTCTCCGCTACACTCACCTCTCCGCTACACTCACCTCTCCGCTACACTCACCTCTCCGCTACACTCACCTCTCCGCTACACTCACCTCTCCGCTACACTCACCTCTCCGCTACACTCACCTCTCCGCTACACTCACCTCTCCGCTACACTCACCTCTCCGCTACACTCACCTCTCCGCTACACTCACCTCTCCGCTACACTCACCTCTCCGCTACACTCACCTCTCCGCTACACTCACCTCTCCGCTACACTCACCTCTCCGCTACACTCACCTCTCCGCTACACTCACCTCTCCGCTACACTCACCTCTCCGCTACACTCACCTCTCCGCTACACTCACCTCTCCGCTACACTCACCTCTCCGCTACACTCACCTCTCCGCTACACTCACCTCTCCGCTACACTCACCTCTCCGCTACACTCACCTCTCCGCTACACTCACCTCTCCGCTACACTCACCTCTCCGCTACACTCACCTCTCCGCTACACTCACCTCTCCGCTACACTCACCTCTCCGCTACACTCACCTCTCCGCTACACTCACCTCTCCGCTACACTCACCTCTCCGCTACACTCACCTCTCCGCTACACTCACCTCTCCGCTACACTCACCTCTCCGCTACACTCACCTCTCCGCTACACTCACCTCTCCGCTACACTCACCTCTCCGCTACACTCACCTCTCCGCTACACTCACCTCTCCGCTACACTCACCTCTCCGCTACACTCACCTCTCCGCTACACTCACCTCGCTGCTTCTTCACGAACTGCAGAGCGTCCCGATGGCAGTCAGAGTGAGTCTTATCCAGGGCGTCAGCGTACCGCCTCACCTACTCCATCTCCGCTCCGCCTCCCCAGTTGCACCGCACACCAGCATGCCCCGCACACCAGCATGCCCCGCACACCAGCATGCCCCGCACACCAGCATGCCCCGCACACCAGCATGCCCCGCACACCAGCATGCCCCGCACACCAGCATGCCCCGCACACCAGCATGCCCCGCACACCAGCATGCCCCGCACACCAGCATGCCCCGCACACCAGCATGCCCCGCACACCAGCATGCCCCGCACACCAGCATGCCCCGCACACCAGCATGCCCCGCACACCAGCATGCCCCGCACACCAGCATGCCCCGCACACCAGCATGCCCCGCACACCAGCATGCCCCGCACACCAGCATGCCCCGCACACCAGCATGCCCCGCACACCAGCATGCCCCGCACACCAGCATGCCCCGCACACCAGCATGCCCCGCACACCAGCATGCCCCGCACACCAGCATGCCCCGCACACCAGCATGCCCCGCACACCAGCATGCCCCGCACACCAGCATGCCCCGCACACCAGCATGCCCCGCACACCAGCATGCCCCGCACACCAGCATGCCCCGCACACCAGCATGCCCCGCACACCAGCATGCCCCGCACACCAGCATGCCCCGCACACCAGCATGCCCCGCACACCAGCATGCCCGGCACACCAGCATGCCCCGCACACCAGCATGCCCGGCACACCAGCATGCCCCGCACACCAGCATGCCCGGCACACCAGCATGCCCCGCACACCAGCATGCCCCGCACACCCTTTGCTTCACCCCTCCCTCTTACCCACTCACCTCTATCCTCTTCCTGCCCCCAACCCCCCATACCCCCACTCCCCACCCACCTCGCTGTTTCTTCACCAACTGCAGCGCGTCCCGATGGCAGTCCGAAAGGGCCTTCTCAAGGGCGTCAGCGTACCGCCTCATCCGCTCCGTCTCTGCCTCCTCTGTTGCGCTGCACGTCAGCATGCCCGCCACATCGATGCGTCAGCCCGCGTACCCTACCCACTCACCTCGCTGTTTCTTCACAAACTGCAGCGCGTCCCGATGGCAGTCCGAAAGGGCCTTCTCAAGGGCGTCAGCGTACCGCCTCATCCGCTCCGTCTCCGCCTCCTCCGCCGCCTCCTCCCTCCCCAGCACAGCGCTCGCCAGGGTGGTCTGCACGCTGGAGAAGAGGCTCAGGAAGTCGCTGGGCTTGGCTCCCAGTAGCTTCGACTCGGAGGTTTTCCTCATTTCCATCGTCTGGGGGGAGAGAAGATGGGAGGGAACGGGTGAGTGCACTAGTTCCCTCCCCAGCACAACGCTCGCCAGGGTGGTCTGAACGCTGGAGAAGAGGCTCAGGAAATCAGTCGGCTTGGCTCCCAATAGTTTTGACTCTGAAGTTTTCCGCATCTCCATGGTCTGGAGGGAGAAGAGAGAAAGAGGAGATGGGATGACATGACAGGGTGAATGCGCTCTGCCTCCTCTCTCCCCAGCACAGCGCTCGCCAGGGTGGTCCGCATGGTGGAGAAGAGGCTCAGGAAGTCGCTTCGCGGGGCCCTCCCCTACCCACCTGTTCCCCCCTACCCACCTGTTCTCCCCAACCCACCTGTTCTCCCCAACCCACCTGTTCTCCCCAACCCACCTGTTCTCCCCTACCCACCCACCCATCGGTCTTCGCTGTCCTTGAGGAAGTGCTGCAGCTCCTCCGCGCCTCCCAGCGTGGGGTGCTGTGCCACTCCCAACACACCAAGCCTCCCAACACAGAACAACCCCACACCACCTTCCCCCAACCCACCCATCGGTCTTCGCTGTCCTCGAGGAAGTGCTGCAGCTCCTCCGCGCCTCCCAGCATGGGGTGCCGTGCCACTCCCAACACACCAAGCCTCCCAACACAGAACAACCCCACACCACCTTCCCAACCCACCCATCGGTCTTCGCTGTCCTCGAGGAAGTGCTGCAGCTCCTCCGCGCCTCCCAGCGTGGGGTGCTGTGCCACTCCCAACACACCAAGCCTCCCAACACAGAACAACCCCACACCACCTTCCCCCAACCCACCCATCGGTCTTCGCTGTCCTCGAGGAAGTGCTGCAGCTCCTCCGCGCCTCCCAGCATGGGGTGCCGTGCCACTCCCAACACACCAAGCCTCCCAACACAGAACAACCCCACACCACCTTCCCCCAGCCCACCCATCGGTCTTCGCTGTCCTTGAGGAAGTGCTGCAGCTCCTCCGCGCCTCCCAGCGTGGGGTGCCGTGCCACTCCCAACACACCAAGCCTCCCAACACAGAACAACCCCACACCACCTTCCCCCAGCCCACCCATCGGTCCTCGCTGTCCTTGAGGAAGTGTTGCAGCTCCTCCGCGCCTCCCAGCACAGGGTGCCTCGCCACGCGCCTGACAAACGTCTCCAGCCCCCTCCGCCTGCTCTCCACAAACTCCCGGCTGAAGCGGAACTTCTCTGCACGGACCAAGTGGGAAGAAAAAGAGGGGGAGACGGGGAGAGGCGGGACAGGAAGATGGAGGAGGGAGGGAGGGAGGGGAGGAAGAGAGGGAGGTGGGTGGGTGGGTGGGTGGGAGAGGACGCAGTGGGTTGATAAAAAGAGTAGCCACTCAACATGGAAGCGTTGAGCAAGAGCCGAGCACCACACCACACCCCACCCCACCCCACCCCACCCCTACCTCACAGCACCTTAGCAGGATCGCTATGGACCAACAGCAACCGCCCGGTTTGACTTGACTTCGATTGACTTCATTTGACTCAACCACGACCTGTCTATCGGGCAGGGGCGGTACGATAGCTCCCCTGTACAGAACACCCAGGCGATCATACTGCCACTCGACAAAGAACAGAGAGCGTGCGTAGCACCACACCATACCACACCACACCCCATTGCACCCCATCTCAACACACCACACCACGCCCCACCTCACCGCTCCCCAACCCAACCCACCCCTACTCCACCGACACTCAAGCCACCAGCAGCAACTTGACTTCACTCACCCACGACGTTTTTATCGGGCAGGGGCGGCACGATGGCTCCCCTGTACAGATCGCCAAGGCGGTCGTGCAGCCACTCGAAGTCGGAGAACCGGCGAATCACGTACACCTCGCCGTCCGACGCAGGCGACTAGGGTTACCCGTTTCGTAAAGATTCTCACCCCCAGTTGCATTCGGTGGGGGGAGAGGGAGGGAGAGGAGGCGATGAGTTAAAAATAATCCCGTTGGGAAAGTACTTGGTACTTACGAATAAAAACCCGGGAACGTCTGTTGCGAAAGAACGATAAACTGAAGAAAAAACGGAACGGAATCCGCGAAACGAGCTAACTCTGCATCTCGTACCTTGGTGGTCACCCGATAAGATGTGTACGCGTTAACGCCATCGCCCTGCTTAACGGGATCCGTGACCGTTATTTCTAACGGCCCTCCGCCCGTTTCACCTCCGCCTGATCGAAACCCCGCTCCTATCACTGTTGCTCCGCCATCCATGAGTCACGATCGAAAAAACTTTCACAGTAATAGCGACAGTGTTCAAGGATTCCCGGGTCGAATTCGAAAAAGGCTCGAATACGAATCCAATATCGTCTCGGTGTCAACGAGACCAATATCGTCCTGGGTCGTATTTGAGCGTTCGAACAAACGACACCAATCTATAAGTGTCAAAATTCGGGATTTCTGGGTCGTACTCTATTTTTTCCTCAGGAACCGTCTGTAATCAGTAGCAGGCGCGGTCGCCGTTTTGCGAATAGCTCAGTTACGAGTCAACGCGTAACTTCAGATTGCTGCTGGTAGGTCAATCTGAAGGAAACAACTTAGGAGTGACAACTGAAATCCTGGACTAATCATAAATGGTAATTTCAAGGTGTCGCGAGGCGAACTTGCAAATTGCTCCTGCCTTGCTGTACACTCGCTACAGCCCTGGTCACAAACTGCTACGTTGCAAGGCGTATACATTGTACGATATTCAGGAAACATGCTATATGATGCTTAAGACAATTTAACAGGAACAGCTTCTGCCATTTTATATTTTGCGTTTTATTAGATATTACAAGCATAGAAATAAACGATTCAGCTGCCACAGCAACGTCTCCTACGTAAAAAGACGTTGCCCCAAAAATGACAAAAAGACACAGTTGGCCAGCTGAGATTGGCCAGAAAAAAAGGAATTAGGTCCCTTCCCTGACATTTGTCATCATTCATGCCACGCCCTGCTGCCCCACCAACTGCTTCTGCTGCTCCACCTTTGCCTCCAGTCTCCTTTTCTGCTCTCCCTCTTGCACCAGTTGCAGCCTGCACCATCTGCTCTGACTTTCCCATTCGCTCCAGCTCTTGCTCCTTAGCCTGTTTCGTCTTTAATGGTCACCACCCCCGCTGCTCAATCCCAGCAGCTGCCTCTGCCGCTCCACCTCGGCCTCAAGCTGTCTCTGCTGCTCCTCCAGCTGTTGCAGCTGCAGCTGCAGCAATCGCTTCTCTTCCTCCACCCTATCCAGCTTCTGCTGCCCCTGCTCCTTTTCAGCCTCCTTGCCCCCGTGCTCCCCTTCTGCCTGCTTGTTCCTCCCCTCCTCCTCCTGCTCCTCCTCACTATCAGTGCCTGCGTCAATCAAAAGCGTTCGCACGCCCTTCCCGTCCTTACCCGCACGCCTCGACCCACCCTCCTCCGTTGGCCTAATTCGCCCCTCAGAAATCCCGTTCCTGCTCTCATTCAGACCCAGCTCATCCATCCCAGAAGCACCCACACCACACCCCTCCTCTCCACTTCCGCTCCCCTTCCTCCGCCTCCTCTCCTCCCTCTTCCTCCCCTGTCCATCTCCCTCATTCATTGTCTTAGTCCGGGACCAAGACCGCCCCGTCTCCCCTCCCTCCCTCCCCTTTCCCCCTTCCAGTTCCTCCTCTCCCGCGCTACCCTTCCTCGTCCTCTCCTCCCTTCTCCTCCCCTCCCCATCTCCCTCATTCATTGTCTTGGTTCGAGACCATGACCGTCCAAACTCCCCACCCGCTCCCCGCTCCTGTTCCTCCTCTCCCCCATTACTTCCCTTCCGCCTCCTCTCCTCCCTTCTCCTCGCCTCCCCATCGCCCTCATTTATCGTCTTGGTTCGCGACCACGACCGCCCCATCTCCCATCCCTCCCTCCCCTTGCCCCCTTCCTCCTCCTCCTCCTCTCCTCGCTCCGCATCCTTCCGCCGCTTCTCCTCCTTCCTCTTCCGCACCTCCCCATCTCTCTCATTCATCGTTTTGGTTCGGGACCACAACGCCCGAACGTCAGGCGTGAATCGGAAGCTGCTCAGCCCCCCAAAGAAGGACCCTTCGCGGATGCTTCTGGGAGATTTGCAAGGCAGCCCGTCAGAAGTAGCAGCAGCAGCAGAAGGATCGGCATTCCAATCCGTGCTGCTATCCGCAAACACGCGTGTCGCCTTGAGAGGAATCTCGGCCTTCTCCCTCCTCCCACTGCCTTTGCTCCGACCCTTCTTCCCCCCCTCCTTCTCCTTCGTCTCTTTAACCTTATCCTCCTTCCCTCTCCTCTTCCTCTCCCCGTCCCTCTCCCCTTCATCCTCCATCTTCCCACCATCCTGCCTCCCCACCTCCCCCAACCTACTTTTCCGATTGCTCCCAACCTCCGTTCTAGCCGAACCAGTCTCAGCTGCACCTGCCTTCCTTCCACTCCCTCTTCTCCCGCTCCCTCTTCTCCCACTCCCCTGCATCTCATCTGCACAGATCCTCCTCAAATCCTCCCCCTGGGAGCCCACCTTCCTGTGCTTCTCACGCTCCTTCCCATGCTCCTTCGCACTCTCCTTTGCACACTCCTCCTCCTCGTCTGTATCATCATCCTCCAGCCTTCGCTGCAGCTTACTCACCTTGCGCCCCTCCTGAGGACTCTTCTCCTTCTCCTTCTCCTCATTCCCTCCCTTCGCCTCCTCCTCCTTATCCTTCCCCTCCTTCGTCTCCTTCCCTTCCACCTTGTACCTTTCCTCCTCCTTCTCCCCCTCCTCCTCCTCCTTTGCCTGCTGCTCCTCCTGCTCGAGATCACCACTACCCTTGGACCTCTTCCCATCTTGCTCCCAACCCCCACTCCCTTTAGATATCCTTTCCCTATCCATATCCCCACTCCCTTTCGACCTCCTTTCCCTGTCCATATCCCAGCTCCCTTTCTTCCTCCTCAACCTCTCCCCCTCCTTCCCCTCTCCCTGCCCCTCAGGATCCCCCCTCTCATCCCCACCCAAAGCACCCAGCGATCCGACCCGTTTAAATAGGCCATCGGACCCTCCATTGGAATTCTGAGACAACGGAGAAGTTTCAAGAGAGGACTGACTCTTACAGGCCCTCCTCCCTCCCTTGGGAGTGCTGGCACGGCTCCTTGACTTTCCACCTGCCACCCTTCTCGAGCCACTCACCTCTTTCTCCTCATCGCTATCATCCATCCTCCTCTGCAGCCTCCCTGAAGCCCTACCCTCGCGCCTATCACCCTTCTGAGTCAACTCAATAGGCTCTTTCTCTTTCTTGCAACCATCACCATCACCATCATCATCATCATCATCATCATCATCCGTCCTCCTCTGCAGCCTTCCTGAAGCCCTACTCTCGCGCCTATCCCCTTCACAAGACACAGCGCTCCTCCCCTTCCTTCCCTCACCAACAACCACCCCCTCATTCCCTCCCCCCTCCTCCTCCCCCTCCGCATTCTCCTGAGTACTGCACCTACCTCCACCGCTCTCAACCCCGTTCTTGTCATCCCCATTAATAGCCTCGCCCAGGACCTTTTTATTCCTCTCCCCTCGCTCGCCCTCGTCCCCGCGCCCTCTAACCACATCGTCCTCTTCCATCTTTCGCTCCAGCCTTCCCCCTTCTCTCTTGCTCCCTTGCCTGCCCGCACCAACGGGAGAAACGTCTTCCCCCACAGCCGTGGGCGAACCTGCTTTTCCCGAACCTGTACCCAAACCTGTAGCCGAACCTGTACCCGAACCTGTGCCCGAACCTGTCTTCCGCACCTCCTTGCCCTTCTCCTCTTTCCCGTGCACGCGCCTCCCCTCCCGTTTCCTCGCACCCTCCTCCTTCTCTTCCTCACTGTCGTCTTCTAAGCTCCTCTGCAGCTTCCCTCCTTTCTTCCCCCCTTTAACAGGAACAACAGGCACTGACACGCTAGCATCAACCCCTCCCTTGTTACCCGCTTTCGCTCTTACACCCTCCTCCTCATCCTCGTCCTCATCCATCCTCCTCTGCAGTCTCCCTCCTCTCTTGCCCGCCTTCGCCCTCACACCTTCCTCCCCTTCCTCCTCATCATCCATCTGCCTCTGCAGCCTCCCTCCTTTCTTCCCCGCCTTCAGCCTCACTCCCTCCTCCTCCTCATCATCATCATCCATCTGCCTCTGCAGCCTCCCCTTAGGAGTCATAGGGGCCGCTACACCCCCCCGCTTACCAACACCAGAGCCCGACCTTCCCCAGTCACCCTCCCCCGTCGCCCTCTCCCCCTCCCCCTCCTCCTCATCCTCACTCATCTGCCGCTGCAACCTCCCCCCAGGAGTCATGGCGCCTCTCAAAGCGGCGCCAGTTGATGCTGCAGCGCCTGCCCTCCTGCCAGGCGGCACTAGCTGCAGCTGCGGCTCTTCCTGTAATAACAGTGGTGGTAAGTGCATGGGAGCGATCCTCCCCGATCCTCCTAGTCCTCCTTTCCCTCCCACTCCACCCACTCCTCCCCCTGCTCCTGCTCCTGCTCCCCCTCCTCCTCCTGCTCCCCCTCCTCCTCCTGCTCCTGCTCCTGCTCCTGCTCCTGCTCCTGCTGCTCCTGCCCCTTTTCCCCCCCACGCTCCTGTGGAGCTTCGTTGGACCGTTGGTGTCTTGGGCTGCTGCTGCTGCTGCTGTGGCCCTCTGGACGGCTGAGATGCTTTGAACGACTGTGATGCGAGGCCTTTCAACGGCTGCGATGCGGTGGGTGTTTTGGGCGGAATTAGCCCCGTTGTCGCTGCTCTGGAAAACGTGTTTGCACGTGGAGGAAACGCAGTACCAGCACCAGAGCTAGCACCAGCAGAAACGCCAGCATCAGGAGCAGAAGCAACCCCACCGCCTGAAGCAGCAGCAGTGGCAGCGGCGGCGGCGGCAGCAGCGGCAGCAGCGGCAGCAGCGGCAGCGGGTACCCAGGGGGAATAAGCAGGAGAGCCTTTTGCGAAGGTTGGTGCCTTAGGCGTTCTCGGCGGAACAGCATTGCTGCCGCTGGCACCTTTGCTGTTGCTGCTGTTTGCGTTGCTGCCGCCATTGCTGCTGCTATTGCTGCTACTGATACCACTTTGTGCGAGGCGATTCATGGTGAATATTCTACCCAATGAAGCACCTCTCGGGGTCTTAGGCGCAGCACCGCCTCCCCCTGAACCCCCATCTCCTCCTTCCCCTTCCCGCTTCCCCGGCCCTCCTCCTGCTTCCCCTCCCCCGCCTTCCTTCTCCTCCTCCTCCTCCTCCTCCTGCTCCTGCCTTTAGCAGCGCCTGCTGCTCCTTCCACCTCTCAGTCTGCTTCTCAAACGCCCCTAGCGCCTTGGCCACGGAAGCTAGGGAGTTGAGCCGCTTACTGGCACCAACCCTACGCCCAGACGCGCCTAGGCTTCCCCTCCCTCCTCCATTCGCTATGCTGTTACCGTCTGCGACTGCAGCTGCCGCCGCTGCCGCCGTAGCTCCCGCCACCGCTGCAGCTGCTGCTGTTGCTGCGTCTCCCCCTGCCGCCCCTGCCCCTCCTGCTCCGCGCCCCTTTCCCTTCCCCCTGTCCATACTCATTTGAGGCTGCCCCAGCAATGGTTTAGACCCAGCGGCCGCTGCGTTGTTAAAGCTCTTCTGAGGGGTGAAATTCGGCATGTTCCGTCTGCTACCTTGCTGCTGTAGGGGTGGCACTGACAATGGCGGTTGCTGCTGCTGCTGCTGATACTGCTGCTGCTGCTGCTGCTGCTGCTGCTTTGGGGTAAAAGAACCAACACGAACAGCAGCAGAAGCAGAAGCGGAAGCAGTCACTGCATTCGGCCTTCCACCCACACCCTCCATGCACCTTCGACTCTCCCCTCCTCTATTCGCCCCCTCCCCTCCCCTGCTTACCCCTGCATACACCATCACAGGCACCGCACTGTCGCCGCTGCTGCTTCTGCTGCACTGCACAATCACCCCGCTCCCACGAAAGCTGTCAGAATTCCCGTATCCGGCTGTAGCAGCAGAAGTACGACCAGCCGGCCCCACACCTGCTGCAGCATTCCCGCCGGCTGTAGCAGCCGCTACAGCCATGCCAGGCCCTGCAGCCGGCATCACATCAGAGAGGTCGGACACAGTGCGGCGGTGCACGCGTTGCTTCGCGGCGGCAACTGGGGGAGGCGTTATCCAGCCTGCTACATCCGCTCCTGAACGCTGGCCTCCAGCTGACGGCCGAGGGGAGGGCGCTCCTGGGGGCGGCGGTACCCACTCTGCTACATCCGCTCCTGCTACTCCCCCACCCGCTACAGCCCCTGTGAATCGACCGCTCGGACTCCTCTCCGCACCATAATTTACACCAGCGGCAGCAGCGCCGGCGGCGGCGGCGGCGGAGGGTGTTGGTGCTGCGTGTGCGTGAACGATGTGATGGGGCGGCGGGAGGGGGGACACTTGCAGGTCGCACGGGCGCGATGTGGCGTGACCAGACGTCATGATGACGTCAGAAACGTCGGAGAACGTGCGGCGATGGCTTTGGCTGCGCTGCTGCTGCGGCTGATGCTGATGCTGCTGGTGGTGGTACTGATTCTGCTGGTGGTGCTGCTGCTGCTGTTGGTGCCATAACTGCTGCTCATGCTGCTGCTCCCATAGCTGCTGCTGGCGCTGCTGCCTCTGATACAGCTCATCCTCCTGCTGTTGCCCCTGATAACCTTCAGTCATCCACGCGCCGCCGTTTTGCTGATCATGCATCGGCTGCTGCTCCTGAGCATGCAGACTGTATCGATGCTCCTTATAACGAGGATCCCCATGATGCCCATGGTGCGGCGCAATGACTCCCGCTGACTGCGCGCCGCGCGCGTAAGGCGGAGGTGCCATTTGCTGCTGCAGGCGCGCTCGCGCTGTGTGGCACGCCCGTAGCTCTGCGGCGGGGGGGAAGGGGGAAAGAGGGGGGAGGGGAAAGGGGGAAGGAGGAACTTTCGAGACAGTCTCAAGAGGCGCCACTTGCTGCTGCAGGCGCGCTCTCGCTGTGGCACGCCCGTAGCTCTGCGGCGGGGGGGAAGGGGGAAAGGGGGAAGGAGGAAATTTCGAGACAGTCTCAAGAGGCGCCACTTGCTGCTGCAGGCGCGCTCTCGCTGTGGCACGCCCGTAGCTCTGCGGCGGGGGGGAAGGGGGAAAGAGGGGGGAGGGGAAAGGGGGAAGGAGGAACTTTCGAGACAGTCTCAAGAGGCGCCACTTGCTGCTGCAGGCGCGCTCTCGCTGTGTGGCACGCCCGTAGCTCTGCGGCGGGGGGGAAGGGGGAAAGAGGGGGGAGGGGAAAGGGGGAAAGAGGAACTTTCGAGACAGTCTCAAGAGGCGCCATTTGCTGCTGCAGGCGCGCTCGCGCTGTGTGGCACGCCCGTGGCTCTGCAGCGTGGGGAAGGGACGGGGGTGGTGCGTCATGGCAAGGTTCAGCATGGTGAGGTTCGGCATGGTGAGGGCCGAGTTCGGTACAAAGAGGTTCAGAATGATAAGATGTGGCTCCTTGACGGGGGAAGTATGGGAGAAAGTAACGCACAAGGACGGCAACAAACAGCGGACGTGAAGGAATTGTGAAAGCATTCGGAGCAGTCATAAATCGAGCTTTACAAAATTCGGATTAAAAGCGTTCCCAGGCTGTCGCCAGCAGCCAGTTCTCAACAAGATTGAAAAACTGCTGCTGCTCCCAATGGTCTGCTCGAAACGCGCTTGAATCTGCAGATGGATCTGCTGCATACGACGTTTCAAAACGAATTTTGAGACGTCTCGAAACGCGCTCTTTTTGAAAAAAAAAAAAAAAAAAAAAAAAAAAAAACAACAACACACACACACACACACACACACACACACACACACACACACACACACACACACACACACACACACACACACTGTTGCATGCGATGCGATGCGGCCCAAATTCAGCAGA